AGATCCTTTAATCGATCACACCACTTCGACGTATAGTCAAGAAAAGGTTATTTTACTGACAGCTTTCTTCTTTATTATAGGTTGTACACAATGTATGTAAACATGTAACCTTTAACACAACTACAACAGAGTCAAACTAAAATATAAATGCAGAGTTATGACCTTATTATCGCTTAAACATTAGTGGAATAACTTAACTCTTAATTGCCCACTTTGTATTGATGAACTTGTGCACCTCACTGAGTGTGACGCGGAAAATACATAACTAAACAAAGGTTCCTACCCAAGGATTTTCAATAGCAACAAATATTCATAAGTAAAAAGATATGGCAGTCAATCAAAAGAAGGACAGTAAAAACAGAACTGGGTAAAAAAATATGAAAAGAAAATAACGTGAGAAGATTAGAAAGACTTTTTTGCACTCGCTTGATTGACTTTGATGAGAACGACTGTGTGTTAACAAAGGCTGTAGCGTTTTATTCTTCCACCTCTTTCAGCTGGTGGGGGGGTGTGTGATTGTTTTCAATGAGAAAGGTGTGCCAGGGCTCAAACAGGTTGGGAACACTGGGAGATAGGTTTCTTCCAGTTCCTTTTCCCTTCGCCTCCTGCTGACTCAGCGTGCATTTGAGAAAGGCACAAAGGAACGACTGTGAAGATTCAACTTTCCACAAACTCGTGTCTCCGCAGAAAACAGAAGTGGCATAAACATGATCAGAAAAACACAAAAAGGTGAAATTGTGTTTGAAGAAAAAGTCTCCATAGAAAGAAACTGTGAACTTTGAGTATGATTGTTGTCGATTTCTGTTTTTCCTAAAAGTCTGTGCAAACAAGAACAAGGTTATGTCAAGTTTCTTATGTCAAGGTTATTTGAATCTTTCAGATACAAAGTCTGTTTTAACATTCAATCCTAACAACTTCATTGATTGTATTTATTTGGACATTGAAAAAAAAAAAAAATCATTGCACAACCATTACGCCAAAGCACATAATTGTAGAAATAATGAGAGAGTGCATTTCCAAATAGGAGTGAGAAAAAGTATAATCTTGTATAGCCCCATCCCCTCTGTCTTTACAAAACAAATATCAGTTTCCTTCATTAGCCACATTCAAAACTAGCTTGAGAACAGTTTATACAGTAAATACAATATGCAATATTTCTCACGTTAATTATTTTTTTTCTAATTTAAACGGTCACTTAACGTCATGCTATGTTTATATCGTGGTATTTGACTTTGAATGTAATGAGTCTATATCATGTATTAGTTTCACATTCTTTAAAGTGATTGTCTTGAGTTTGTCAGAAAGAGAGAGAGAGAGGTACTTGATTTGAAAAAAAAAAAAAACGACGCAAGGTCCCTTCCCCTTCATTTCCTATTGGTCTACACCTACGTCTCCGTAACACTTTTGAATGAGAACACATTATACATATACATTATTAATACACATGCACGCAGGTTTTCAGAATTATTTGTTAACGTTTTCATGAAAAAAAATTGTGTTTTAATGCACAAAAAAACGACCGCGGCAAACCCGGAAGAAGATATTATCATTAATTGCACATTATCGGACACATCTGCAGAGGATCTGATTGTGGATATAGGTTCAGTATATAAATGATTATGGATATAGGTTCAGTATATAAATGATTGTGGATATAGGTTCAGTTTATAAATGATTATGGATATAGGTTCAGTATATAAATGATTGTGGATATAGGTTCAGTTTATAAATGATTATGGATATAGGTTCAGTATATAAATGATTGTGGATATAGGTTCAGTTTATAAATGATTATGGATATAGGTTCAGTATATCCATAAGTACCTCAGCGCGGATGTTCAGAATTCTTTGTTCAGTTTTCATGTAGTTCCAGAGCCTAATGGAGGCTTGATTTGGAGGCTCCGCGAAAACAAACAACTGAGTATGAGTGCAGCTACGAGCAGCAGCGCGATGATTGACAGCCCTTGGCATGACTCGATTGGTTAACCTCGACGGCATCGTGGATTCTGAGCTATATCTAAGAGAAGGGAAGGCGGGACTTACCTGTAATACTAGAATTAATAAAATGACTTATTTTATATCAATATTTAAGGCCAGGAAGTCAATTTACTACAATTCTTAAATGTTTTAATTGATTTAGATACTATCACTTTAAACAAATTAATATTTGAACAATATTCTTATTTTCCAAGTTTTACCTGCATGTATACTGCATCCTGGAGAAATATAAATACAGATGTGAACGTTCAAAGGCATGAATAAAGTGCCTTCAGAAGAAACAACTGTTATTTCTATGCCCTTAAATATTGAAAATGTAGACTAATGAGGAACTAGGCAAGTCAAAATTTAGACTAATGTACTAATGTAAACAGTTCCAACATACGTTTTTGAGTTTCTGTTCTTGTATCTTAACCAAACGGCCTCACAACAACCAAAACCAAAATACACCAAAGCACTTGACTTCATTCTCCTGGTGGTAATGACCAATTTGAGCTGCAGCTGCACTTGTCGCTGGGGACTGGGAAAATATTACCAAAATATTCATATAAATTACGGTTAAAAACATACAAGGACAACTGGACGATATTATAAATTCAATTGTCAGTCGCAGCTTGAGATCAGAGCCATTTGATGAACGGAACCGGAGCTTTTTGGAGGCTCCTGAGAGAAAGAATATTTGCTTTTGTTTGAGTGTTTACTGGTTGATAATAGGACGAATGAATCAGGCTGATGAAGGGCAGTGGCTGAAAGGTCACTTCCTTGCGGTGAACAATAAATACTTTGTTTTGGGAGCTTTTGAGTTGTGCGACCTTTATTGAGTTTCACTTTACAGACTTTATCGTTGTTAGATTTGGATGTGTGTGTCTGCCCAACCGTTTTGTATTCGTTTATCTGAATTGGCTCAGTGCACATCAATCAACAGCCCAGTAAATGATTAATGCGTTGGTTTGTAAATTGCAATTTTTTCGGACACTCAAAGGTACTTCACATGTTATTATTCATTGACTCTATACACGGTGGTGATGAGCTATTACTGAAGCCACAGCTGCCCTGGGGCACATTAACAGAAGCCAGGCAACCAGTCTGAGCCTTCAGCCCCTCTGACCACCACCAATTCACACACTTGCACGCACACACACACGTACACATACACACACACACACGCACATGCACACACACACACGCACACACACACACACACACACACACACACACACACACACACACACACACACACACTAAATAATGTGCTATATAGCTAGTTACTAACTGTAGTCCTGAGGCAAGGTGTAAAATGCCAGAAACAAAAAAAGCCCAAACATTCCAATCATAAATGAGTATATATGTTTAATAAATTTGTTGAAATATTATAATAAAATGAAAAAATTGGAACGTGTACAAACATAAACACTAACGCTTTAAAATAGGATTTGCCAATAGAACGTTGAGTCCTATTTCAGTTTCTGAGTTGAATTTATTATTGTTCATGATCATTATCACCCATTATTCAAGGAAGGAACGGCTTGTCTTTTACCCAAATTAAATAGACTCATAATTACGATTAGATATTTTTCCCAACATCGTTCAGCCTTAATGTCTAATGTTTCAAATACTTTAAAGATGGAAAACCTCACGTTATTTCTTCATGAAAAAAAATTTGTTTTCTCCCAACAGAAAGAGTTGTTAAATGTCGTGGACAAATCAGGCCACAACAAGCTGCCTCCACCTCTTTAGACACATTTTGAATCTTTGTCAGAAAGAGCCTTGTTTGAGCTGAGAGCTGATTGGCTGAGTGAGGCTGGTCCTCTCTTTTTCACTTGTCTGTCTGAAAACACTGACTCTATAGCTGCGATAAAGCCCAGAAAAACATACAAACTAGTGATAGAACCAAACTGTTGCGAGAGCGAGGAACTAGTTACGAGGATTTTGCTGCATTGTTACTTTTGTTGTGATTTCAAAGTCATGTTTATGTGATTTCAGAAGAGAAAACTTGATCTTTTTTGCCTGTGTCTGTGCCGTCTCCCGTTTGTCCTCGGATGCTGCTGTTGCTAATCTCCTTTACCTCGTCTTCATTACCTCTGTGCAAACATCACTTTTATCTCTTCTCTCTGGGCGCCTTTTTATGCTCCGGCAGAAGTCTTTAACCATCTCTTTATTGCACCAGTTTCTAGGCAACAGTTTTATACCTTTGCGCCTTTTTTATTTAATTATTTATATTTTTTTTATTGCTAACCCAGCGACGGTGAGCTCTCGCTGCTCAACTTAAATCACGGAACGTAACACGATAATTAAACAAAAGAGAGAAAGGAAAAAAAAAAAAAATAGATACGGAGCATGGAGATGGGGAATGAAAGGAGACAGCAGGTTTCCCATCCGCTGTTGCCATGACGACACTAACTGTACACGCAGGGTTACTGTCGTCTCCCACGTAATGTGAACAATTATAGCCCCTGAAGACCATAACATCCTGCTTTCATTGAGAATAAAGTTGCAGCAATGTCTAATTTTACGTTTCTGATATTGGGATGGAAATAATATTGATTTTAGGAGAGCAAGACATACAAGAAAAATCAAATTGGTATTTCCTTTTTAAAGAGGGGGGTTTGAGATATGGCTGTAAAAACTCAAATCCATTCAATTTATTTTTGTATAGCCCTAAATCACAGCAGTAGTCATCTCAAAGGACTTCACAAAGTTGTTGATTCGCCAACAACAGATCAGAGAATCAAACATTTCATGCACAGGAAATGCAATAATAATAATACTAATAAATATAAAAAAATTGGTCAAAAGGGGCAGAAGTCCATAAATGATAGTAAACACTTTACAGCCGTATCCGCCCCACTGTGGCACCTGGTGTTCCCAGAGATCTCCCATCACAGTACTAACCAGCCCCTGCCCTGCTCAGCTTCAGTAGTCTGATAGGATCTCGCCACAAGGAAAAGCAATTCAAAAGTAAAAACTGAAACCAGGGACGAGGACGGAAGCACAGGGACTAAATGCGCACAGGTACAGGTCAAAAGAAAGCACGGAAAAGTCCACACCACGACAGTAACGACATTATGAACTTTCAATAGTTCTGGTTCAAAGAGGGCAGCTACCAATCGGGAGGTTCGAATTCCAGTTAGAACAGAGCCTTTCTGAGTGGAGTTTACATGTTCTCCCCGTGCCTGCATAAGTTACCTCCGGGTACTAAAAACATGTACGAACTTTGCAACTTTTTGTGGTCTGACACATTAGATGAAATCGCCTTTTCTTTTTAATTTCGGACAATTTTCCAACTACACACTGATTTCACTTGTTCACTAATGGAATCTAAACACTAAAGCCATACTCACACTCCTGGTTTATGCAGTGGACCATAATATCCATTCCGTAAACAAAAACAACCATATATTGACTAGCGCTGACTACTCTTGCTTCAGCGTAGTCCTGAAAAGCTCTTCATTCATTCCATTAGGATTTTTCTAAAGTTGTTTTGTGAATGTTCGTATCATAAATTGTTCTTTGCAGTTTGAGTGTTGAATGGAGGCTTTGATGCGCCAGTGTGAATGGACAAATATGAATATATCTGAACATTGTAAAGTGCTTTGGGTGACCTTGGTCTGTATAATGCGCTTTATGAATAAACATTACTTACTTACAATAAAACTCTTAGAAGCAATTCTTGCGGATAATGTTGCGGATAAGAAAATGTCTAAATATTTTCCCAGATCATTATTTGACGGTGATTAGATTGGCAAACTCTCTGTGTTCTTATATCTGAAAGTCCAATGACCAATGACCAATGTACATGAATGTTAACAAAGTCTGAAAAAGTTAGGTCTCCCAACTTTAAGCAAAATCACATCACAACATGATTAGAATCTCTTCACAGTCATGTTAGCGCTATAAATAATCCTTGTTTAAAGAGTGTAAAATGGCTTTAATTTGAGTTGGTTTCCTCCATCTTTCCCCTTCTACAGACGATCCAGTGGCGCCCACAGAGACCTATAGCATTAAATATGTACTAGCCGCTGTTTTCTAATTAGCATCATTATATACTTCCACCGCAGAGGCCCGAGAACGGCTTCTTTATGGCGTTCCTGCGGTGCACTCATGAGATATTGATGTGTCTTCGCAGCCCTGACGCACGTGACGCTATGGGCCATCGACCGGCAGTGCTTCCAAACCATAATGATGAGAACCGGCCTCATCAAACAGAACGAGTACATGGACTTCCTCAAGAGGTACCCGCCACAATAAAAGCACTTATTTTAAAAAACAGATGTTCCGGGAATCTGAGAGTGCAGCAAGACTATTGGGTTGGGGACGAAAAGGGTGAATTCAATCAATCCATGTGTTATTTATAGAGCTCTTTACAACACTCATTTTTGCTCCATTAAAACATGAATGTAATCAAACAACAAAACAATTAAAAAGGTATTAAATAATTGGTCCTTTTTCCACTGCATTGAAGTGGTAATTAAGCGATTTGTCACCACTATTTTTGGCTAAATCTGATAAAGCCATATTTCTGACCTATCGTGTGATTGCGATATGATTGACAATGTCCTGTATGTTTCAAAAAAGTCAAGTTTTATTCAGTAAAAATTACAACTTAAATAGCGTTCCAATAGAAAAAATAGTACATGTGAACCTCATACTATTCTCACACATTTCCGACATGTTTTTTAAATTTTATTTTCATTATTAAGGACAACAAACAAACTAAAACACATTATCATTTAACCAAAACATACAAAATAAGACAAATAACAACAAAATAGAATAATAATAATATTCTGGATAACATTATATACACCTCCATTCCTAAGTTTTCTTATTTCTCACTTTGTTTTTCTGATTATTATTATTATTATTATTATTATTGTTATTATTATTTTCATTATTATTTTCATTATTATTATTATTACTATTATTATTATTATTGTTATTATTATTATTATTTTGTATTTGTATTATTATTATTATTACTATCAATAGTATTAATATTATTATTATTATTACTAGTATTATTATCATCATTATTATTTAATATTATTATTATCATTATCATGTATTATTATTATTAATATTATTAGCATCATTATTATTATTATTATTATTATTATTATTATTATCATCAGTTCTATTTCTGTTTCGTATCATTGTATATCTAGATTAGTATATACAGTCTATTCAACTTAAGTTAGTCCAAAATGATTCCAATGTCTCCCCTCCCTCATTGTTTTGCTTTTTCTATTAATTATATATTTCAAAAATAAAAAACAAACAAACATATTCTCTGCCCTGACCTCACTGTGCAACACATTTTTGTATAAATTAAGATGAGAGAGAGATGGGATTAGTAATGAGAGATTAATGCTTCTGTTGACACCAGAACAAAAAATACAGAAATATCTCAAATTCATCTGATTTCTTGAAATAGAAAATAGCAATTTAACGTTTTTGCAACCACAAAAATGGCACTTTCGATTCGATTGTGATAACCTGTGTCGGCTTTATTCAGTCTTTCTCTAGACGCCTTAGACTTTAAAACGGTTGAGATAACACGATGCAAACCAGACGTGTAACAACAGCTTTTGGTGCGTTCTCCGCTCCAAAAAAATGAACCTAAACGTCTCATCATCTTTCATCTTTGTGTAAATCCATTTGAAATCTCATGATTGTTGTTTGTGCCTGCAGCGTTCCCACTTTCCAAAGCCTGACAGAGGAAACGCTCAGCAAACTGGCCGATGTCATGGAGGAGGTGAGACACACAATTACAGCTGAAGAACGAGACGGTTGGAATTGGACCAATGGAAAAAAACTGGCAAAAAACCCCCAAAAAAAACATGCATTTTTTTTTTACTAGTTTTTTCTCCTTGTAGATACAGCCATAGCCTCTGTTTGTGTGTCCAGTACTCAAAATCTCAGTAAATGAACCGGAATTCAACAAGACTATGATGAGACACATGATTAAACTGTAGTGTGTGGTTGTAAATACTAATTGTTGATGATTTTCCCGTTTTTTTTCTAAAGAATCAGTACGACGACGGAGAGTTTATTATTCGACAAGGAGCCAGAGGAGACACTTTCTTCATTATCAGCAAAGGAATGGTAAATACACGTACACAAAACACAACATAAACGTAAAAACACACACACACACACACACATACTGTATACAGATACACGCTCAAGCAACAAGTTTACCGGACAATCTGAATTAATGAAGCAGCTGTAAAGAATGTATACTGTTATGGTGATAATATATTTATGGTCAACTGAATAAAGCTGGACTTACTCTGTATTTATCCTTAAATGAACAGATTTTTGCCCTAAAATAAGATTTACCAAAATACAGTGATTATTTTATGGTTGTTTTTTTCTTCTCCGAATCCAGACATTTCACACTTTTTCCACTAGACATATCTTATTTTAAAACAACTCAAATCTTCAAAGTTCAATCCCTTCAAACAAAGAGAGACGACTGTAGAACTTAGACTTTTTTCCGTCGGTGAAACAGTTTTCCAGCTTCACTTGGGCTCTCTTTCTGCTCAGGTGAATGTGACTCAGGCCGATCCGTCCAATCAGGAGCCAGTGCTGCTGAGAGAGCTGAGCCGCGGGGACTGGTTTGGGGAGCGCGCGCTGCAGGGGTGAGACCAGAAACACTGCTGCAATATTATACACATCCGGACACATTCTTTAACACAGGCCTTAACGTGGGCCAAGTCTCATGTGCAGAAATACAGTACGAACTCAACAAATACTTTTAAATCACGTTTAAACAAGTGCTTATTCACGGTGTGACTGACAGAGAGATTTTTAAACAGTATTGCCACAAAACTAGAAAAATCTATACACTGTTTGGTTCCTTTCTTTTTGCAAGGAGGTCCTGGGTTTGAAGCACGGTTGGAACAGGGCCTCTATGAGTAGCGTTTGCATGTTCTCCCCGTATCTGCGTAGGTTTAGATGATGATATAAGAAATCCTCTAGCTCTGGCCATGACCAAGCCGATAAGTAAAAAAATGCTCAAATATGGCAAAATGTATCTTAATTTGAGCACATTTTGACTGTCTTAAAACAAGATGCCAATGGGACAAGGAAAATTATTTTTTTAAAAGATAAACAAATTGTCTTCTTTGGAATGAGAAAATGGAGCAATATTGACTAACTAACCGGTTTGTCCCACTGGCAAATCTATAAGACTATAAGAAATCTCAAATAATAATAAAAATAAATAAAAAAGACAGATTTCCTTATGTGGACTATACAGTTTAATTGAATATACTTATTATAAAGGACCACAAATGTAAAAGGATCCAACTCAGTATGGCCCACTGTCAGCAGTCTGTAATAACCTCTCACTGTGCCTCTCATGACCTCATTTCCTGTTGAGCTGTTGTGCGTTCAGTGAAATTCAGTTTTATTAAGACCCTCTCTGTTTGAGATCTGACCCCTGATCAGCTGGAAGCAGGTGCAGCACCCCCACACATTATTGAGCCACAGCGTATGCCCCTTTATGTTTATGCTGGTATGTTGCTTTTTTGTCACTTCAGAGATTTTCCACAGACAAAAACACTATTAGTCCAGTTCTCGGGTCTCTTTCCATGGCCACGCACCAAAGTACATCTGTGACATGTTAGTGCCTTATGAACCAACTCGGACTCTGAGGAGCGCAGGGACTGGTCTCCTGCTGTTCCCAGAGTCAGAACGTGTGGAGGCAGCGTTTCAGATTTATGCAGCCAATATCTGGAACTGTCTTCTTGATAATGTGAGACAGGCTTCTACTATGTCAATGTTCGAATCCAGCTCTATTTAGCTTCGCACACAACTGAAGGATTTTATCTTCACTCATTTTATGACAATTGTTCTGTTAAACTTCCTTTGCCTTGCCATTAAAATACCCACGTCCTGTCTAATGTTCGAGTTCGACCATTTTCTCCCACTTCACCTGGGGCCTGTCGCGGAGGCAAGTCGGAGCATTGAGTTCCCGCTAAGACTTGCTGCTCGTACGTGGGAATCCCGAGGTATTCCGAGGCTTTCTGAGACACAGTCCCTGTAGTGTGTCCTAGGTCTTCTGCAGGTCCTCCCACCTCTTCCCCAGGTCCTCCCCAGGTCTTCCTCCCTATGGAACAGGCCAAGGTGGATCAGAAACAGAGGCCGGGGAAACTCATTTACAACTGCCTGTATCCACAGTGTTCAAGTTTGCTAAAATGTGTAGGATTATGCCAGATTTTTTAATGGGAGGATTTATTTTCTGTTATTCTAGCATCATTACATTACAATTCTAAAGGTCCTGTATAAGTTATCTGGATCTGTTGCTGCTGCTGCTGCTGCCACCATCTCAGTGCAATGGTGCAATCTGTTGCAAAGACCTAATTAAAGCGCACCTCAACTGATGAGTGTGATTCAGTGGAGGCTCACTTCAATCCAAAGTTACAACCAGGCCTCAATCCATTAAATATTCTCACTTCATTTATACCTAATTTCAAACTATTCTTTCAAGCGGAACAACAGGAATCCTCCAACTTAGTGCGTCTCATTGAGGTCATGACTCATTTTATTTCATTCTTTGATACGGAAAAGAAACACTGTTCAATAACATTTAAAAGATGGCAAAAAGGCACCTAAAGAGGTCAAAGGACCGGGATACAGACGCAATCAAAATAACAAAATATATGGTATGATACTACTTCAAATGTGACCTAATTCTAAATCAAACACACATTTTAAGTGCTTTCCTCATTGTGTTTAATACATTTAATTTTATTGTGTCTATATAAAACCTAAGACTAAAAGTTGTCCCAGTAAATAGGTTAATTTAAAATACAAGTTGAATTCAGCTTCTTAGGTCTTTTTGACTATATCTCTCTGCTCTTACTTTTATCTGACATTTCTGACTTCTTACAATAGATGGCGGCTTCAATTAGGGAGAATACATTTGCCAAAGATTATTTATTTATTCTGTCCCCATTTGCAGAAAGTTCTGGTTTGAAATCAGAATAAAAAATGTAGAACGTCGTCAAAGGACTGATAATAAGGACTTCACTGTATTCTCTTCATTGGCAAACACTTTGGAAACTCTTTATCAAATGTATCGCACATGACGTGGATTGGGGTGTGAAAATCTACAGAAATTAAAAACAAATCTTGAATTTAAGACATCTGAAATGTAGTGCTCTTTCCTTTTTGTTCCAGACACCTTAAACCAGGGATATTCAACAGTTATTTTTCCTGAGGGCTGGATTTTTCAGAGACCTGTGATTTCTTGACCGAATGAAAGCACATCACGAATCCACTTTAAAAGCAATTAATATTCAATCAGTTTCAATAATTAGTTTCGGACAGAATTTGCGATACTTTTATGAAATTCGATGTAATGGTTTTCTGAGCCTGGATTGGCCGAGAACTGGAGTACCCACTGGTGTCACCCAGATTTGAATTAGTAGACTATATACCTAAGCATAAATCGCAATAAAAATAAGTAAAAACTAGATAATATTGTGTGTTTTTAGTGTGTCCAAACGTTTCTGCAGTGAAGTTGGCGTCTTGAAAGTGGCAGTGACCCCGTGTCTGTGTGAACTGCAGCTGCTGAAGTGAAGATGCCACTTTGCCTGTTACATGTCTGAGTGTCATACGTGACATCACATCCAGGCTGACATGTCCGCAAGCTCTGTCCAGGGACCAGGGCCAAAGCATATACACACCAAAAAACATGCTGCTAAAAGCCTTTTATAAGTGGTATATGTAAGGGCTAAAGCCAGGATGGACAGTAGCAGAGCAAAACAATTTGAAATATAAGTTAATAATTGCTTTTTTGTGTTGTGGTGAAGACAGAGCTGAGGAGGTGACCAAATATGGAGAAAACTTATTTACTTAGTTACTTTTATCTAAATGAAAATCTTGTTGTTTGAATGAATCATTGCTGTTGAGCATTGATAGACAGATAGATAGACAGATAGATAGATAGATCAATAGATAGATCAATAAATAGATAGATAGATATATGTATGAAATTCAGGTGTCTGGTAGCAGCAGAAAAACCATACAAACAAAAACAAAAAAATACATAATTTAGTTAGTTTATTTTTTTCTTCGGTCAATATGTACACCCGACCTCGGGTCACACGGATACAGAGCTCACATTTACTTTTTACAACAAGAAAATAAAACCAAAATGTGTCCATAAAGGACCTTGTGCGAAACAATACCTGACCAAAAGGGTTTAGGCTGAAGTCGAAACTTATACTGCCTAACCCCTAATACAATGTGAAAATATGTCCAAAGATGACAAATTATACAGTTTCTCATATACTAACGACGGCAACATGAAGCACCAAAAACTTGCACTTGAACAAATCAAAATTATGTTATACATGATCTAAATTATAGGTGACACAATATACAGATTCTCATATACCAACGATGGTAACATGAAGCACAAAACATGAACTTCCATAAACACGAGTTATTAAGCATAGTCCAATTCAATTGTCCTATACTTATCCATAATATTTGACTTATACTTTTTTTTGAATGTTTTAATAGTTCTTGAGCCCTTAAGTTGAACAGATAGACTGTTCCATAGATCAACTCCTTTGACTGATACACACCTCCTCTTAGTATTACTCTTTGCTCTGGGTTTCTGAAGCAGATCAGTTCCTCTGAGGCTGTAGCTACATTCTCTAGTATGAAACATATTTTGTAAACAGTGAGGAAGCATGAAGTTGTGTGCCTTGTATAACACAGCTGCAGTGTAAACATCAACAAGATCATACAATTTTAGAATATTATGTCTAATAAATAGTGGATTTGTTGGGGCAAGGTATTCGGCATGACTGATCACTCTAATGGATTTCTTTTGTAAGATAAAGATAGGTTTTATATTAGTTTTGTAGGTATTCCCCCATATTTCCACACATTAGCTGAGGTATGGAAGGATGAGGGAATTGTACAGTATATATAAAGCATTTTGATTTACAGAAGTTTTAATTTTACACAGTATAGCAATGAGTTTAGAAATTTTAGTCTTTAGAGTGTTTATATGCACTTTCCAGTTTAACTTATGATCAATATTGATTCCTAAAAACTTTATAATTCTAAAAGTTGTTGTTAACAACAGTAATGCAACAGCACTTTAGGTCACAGCAGCAGAGGTGGTGTAGCCACTTGGTTCGGACCATTTTCTTTGCTCTGGTCCAGGGCGAAATGGCGAATGCTTTATTAGCATTTTTCAAATATCCAGAGCGGCTGTGAGGTGGCAGACAGAAGACAATATTAGTGATGGTGACAAAGCAGAGTTCATGCAACAGCAATGAAACAACCACACGTACAGACATGTCCATTCAAATGAGGAAGCTAATGAAAATGCTTTCGCCTTAGGAACTTTGAGCCACCTTTACCTTCGTGATTAGGTGATTAGATTCCTATATATTTTTTTTAATATCCTGTACCTTTTTGCCTTTTCCCACATCTCCACGGCTGCAAACTGTGCTATTCACCAGTCAGAATACGCTCCCACTCTCACCTGTGATTATGAACTTTTACTGCAGGACGAGATTGTAAATTGCAGATAAAAGTGTTCAGAATGAATTTCCTCTGCAAAGTGCTTCTGTAACAGGCGCAACGCTGACCCGACTGAGCTGCTTCACTTCAGAACCTCGGACAGCTCAGCGGCAAAAACTTAATTAATTTGTTCAATTACTGTAAAATCTTCTACCATAACGGCACTGGTAACGTGAATGTGATAATGGTTGGCATGGTAGCAGTTGTCATGGTAGCAGTTGTCCACTGTAAAGGTTGCCTTGACAACTGTTAGCACGCCGCTATGACAGTCGGCAGGACAATCGTTAGCATGGTGACAGCTGGCATAGTAACAGTTGTCATGTTAACAGTTGCCATAGTAACAATTGTCACAGAAACAGTTGTGATAGTAAAAGTTGTCACGGTATCAGCTGTCAAGTAACGCTTGTCATGGTTACACTACTTTAAAAAAAATCTTTTTCCATTTTAACTTGGTTCAAATTGATAGCACTTGAACTTCAGATTCAGATCAGATTCACTTGAAAATTGACATTACCTAGAACTTAAGTGCTAAAACTGCACACACTGTTTGCTACAACAAGACCTCAAAAAAAAAAAACTTCAATATTATAATGTTTGTTGGTAATTCAAGCGATTACTCTCACCTTCACCCCATTCCTTTTTGTCTTAGATAACTGCCAGGAAATGATTTATTGAGCATGAAACAGTTTTTCAGTTTTAAGTCTCATAAAAGCTTTTTAAATAAGCCGTGAATCGACCGGTGAATTCTTTGGCGGTGTAGTGTAGAGTTTGTTTATGTGCTCAATGGCTTTGGAGCGGAGAATGTTTCTGTACATACAAGACGCCCTCGACCTTTTTATAATTAACTGCAATATTCAAATACTTTGTGCATCAAGGGTGAAGAGAAAATACAGACCATAGAAAGAAAAGTGTGAGAATGTTCAGAGAAATAGCTGGTGAAATAGAAATTGATGGAGAAATTGCGTCATGATTTCTGACTAGAACTGGTGAATGTGTGGACTGTTAAACAATATACAATGTGTGTACAGCATGTGTTTGGTTTGGGTTCATGGATTATCTGTGCGAGGAAGAGGTTTTTATCTCGATTCAAGTCAATTTTTACTGTCTGAAAACAAGAATAGCCAATGGCACAAGCAAACATGTCTAATTTCAAGGATGGTAAAAATTCTTTTCTCATTCCCAGTGAGAATTTGCATATCTCGCACAAAACAAGTCCTTTTTGCCTGGCCCTTTGACAACATGCACCAAACCGATATATTCAGCTTCATTCAAGCACTTTTGTGTTTATTTTTGTATTTTTTTGCACAAAGTACTCAACAATAAACTGGTGCTCAATGTCTTTGTGAAATTGCAGCCGGAACTTTGCACATTGACGCGGCTGGAGATATGAGAAAAATCCGTCTTTCTTTCCAAATGAGTGTTTGTTTACCCGGTCGCTTAAGTCTCTCTCTCAATTTAACGCTACAGCTGTCAGGTCACGTCAAAATAAACAACCTTTAGGCCAGAAATTCTTTAGAGAAATGAAAAAATGCCACATAAACAACGGAAAAAGTACACAGTTCTAAAAATCGCAGCCTAAATCTGATTCCAAACTACCATATTTTTCTTATTTGTATCACTGCCATTCAAAAGTGAGATTTAAAGGTGACATGGCGTGCCTTTTTACTTAGTGTTAAAGCTGGGATACTTAACTTTCTAACTTTTTCTAACCTAGATAAACACATAATGAGACAATCCAGCTCTATTGCTACATTTCTTTTGCATGAAGCATTGATACCGAAACATGTACAGCTAGCTAAGAAACAACCATGCATTTTTGGGTAGTGCGAATATTGACCTGGAGAAATAGTGTCACAGCGACGTCTTTCTCAACATATTAAAACTATAATTTGATGAACTATTAGTAGCAGTGTCTTTATTTGTCACACGCCTCGGCTGCTGTTGGCGTCAGGGTGATTTGATTGACGGGTGGGGGGTGTTGTGCTCTCCGCTCGCTATCCTCGGAGTCTCCAGGGACCGACTGCTGTCCACGTCTCAAACACAAGAATCAAGAAGAAAGTGCTCCTCCAGCACAGCCGAGACTTCACACCATTGATTTCCTATAAAGGCTCAGAGAAAGGAAGTGGTAGTGTGGTGTAAGTTCAGAAGTGGGATTTAAAGGTGATATGGAGTGTCTTTTTTGTTTAGAATTGAAGCTGGGGGACCTTTAGCCTGGCCTTAGCTGTCCGTAAACTTCGGTCAATTACCATTCCCTACATGTGCGTTTGGGTCTGATCCTAGTGGCTGCGGTTACCTCGGTTCTATCCCCTCCGACCATTCAGTGAGTTGGAGGCGGTTTTTGTGGGTAGATGGTGGTGACGTCAAGAGTTTGCGCCAAATTGGCTGGTTGTACTTTGGCAACGCCGGCGAATGTGGTAGTAAAGGAAGCTCTTCAATCCGTTCTGTTTCGGCTCCAAATGTCAAGAAATTGAAGCCGGAGCAAGAGGAATGTTTAGCAAATGTCAATGCTGCAAAGATGTTGTGGCTCTACTCTCCACGGGCTCCGTTAGTAGCAAAGGAGGTGACCAAAGCTAGGCTAATTGCTAAATACCTCACTCACTCGGGCGCATTACGTCACTATCAGATACGTAAACTCAGATCCAATCGTTTCAATCCGCAAAAGGAGTTAACCCCTCCCACCTGTTACGAAATGAAATGATTTGCTTGAAAATTCTATACACTATTTATGGGGTGGGTGGGTCGATGAAGTTAGGTACCTCAGCTTTAATAATGTACTCCACTAAATCAAATTATATTCTCGTCTTTTAGGTTGTCAAATATTCATTTTTGGTTACAGTAACACGGTTGCCAAGTAACATCCTTGCTGTGATGTCATAATATACAAACAGGAAGTCAAATTATAGATGTGAATTAAATACAGTATGATCAACCAATAATATTTATTTATTTATTTATTTGATCGGGACAACACACATTAATGAACAATCTTATACAAGTTGTACACAAATTGTAAATGTGCCAGATTGTAGCAAAACTGCTTTACAGCCGTAGTCCCGAGGCAGGTCACACAACAATAATATTTAGTCATTCTTTATTAGAATCTTAAATATAATAATCTTGACAGTGTTTTGTGAAGAAAAAAGTCAAATTTGTCATGAGTAAAGCCAAAGTTATTTTTAGAAATCTCAATTAAAGTCAATTTATTACACCGCTCCAGTGCAATGTCGTTGGTTTTACGGTTCAACGCCACCACATTTCAGGCCTGTTGTCGAAATTCTGTTTTTTATGTGTTTACAAGTGATTTCATGGATATTGTCACATATTTTTGCCGGTGGGATTCTGTCTTTTAGGTGCATGAGGAGCTGTCATCAGTATTTTCTAACACTCAGACTTGTTTTATCACTAGATGTTTTCATTCTCTCCGCACTGAGCTGCCCTGGGGTAAAACCGACTCTAGACCTTCTACTTGCTTTTTGAGCAGCGCTGGAAAGAGGACTGAACATTTGAGTTTTCAAGTTTTAAGAGAATTTAAGTTAAGGGAAACTGTAGGCGTGTGTGAGATGACTGTTGGTGTAGTCTTTTTTTTGAATTATTCATCGTACATTATAGTAAAAAAATAAATCAAGTTTGAGAAGGAGGAAGTAGAAGCAAAAAGTATGTGTCCTTCCCCTTTTCACAATTTCTTTCATTCAATTAAATTAAATTCAATTTCTTGTCCTTGTTTCTTTGTGGTTTGATTTTGGATTCCTATTTCATCCTCAATTTTTTTATTTTTGAGTTTCTGCCTGTCCTACATGTGAGTTCTAATATTTCTTCTGCACTCGTAAGGGTTAAAAAAATAAATAAAAAGCCATCAAACCGCTCTGCCATGCCTTACTTGTGGCCACCCTAGGAACTAAGGAATGTAGCAACTAGACTGAGAGAAGATAAAAATAAAGTAATAATTTGTGAAAGCTTGTGATTAATAAGTTTCATAAGTTAGTTTGTCCCTTGAGGAAAAAATATTATGAAAAAAACCTGTATTTTTCTGTTTCAAACTGCACAATAACTCCAGCTCTTTAATTACTTGCTTAAGACGCACTTTTTTTCTTTGACTTTTAATGCCAGGGAGAAAGATGTGGTCGACAGTTGCTCAGTTGGTAGAGCATTGGCCTTTGAGCCAGAAGGTTGTGGGATCAAGCCCACCTCAAGACTTTCACCATCGACTCCCACTGTCCTTGGCAAGACACTTAACCTCTGGGAACACCTGGCGCCACAGTGGGGCGGCTGCGGATGTAAAGTGCCAAACTGCTGTTGTGTCCTTAGGCAAGACACTTCACTCCTATTGCCTGAATGGTGGTCTGAGGGGCCGATGGCACATACTGTTTGCCTCGCTTCTGTCAGAGTGCCCCAGGGCAGCTGTGGCTACAGTAGTAGTTTATCACCACCGTGTATGGAATGAATGAATAATGACATGTAAAGCCTCTTTGAGTGTCCAAAAAAGTGCTATGTAAAACCAATGCATCATTATTATTATTGTTGAAGAGACGGGTGTATATACAGTAAATATTTATGTTTTTTTTTTTTTCACCACTTGTTCTTGCAGCACTTTGATAAGTCTGGGCTGTTTTAAATGTGCTTTACAAAAAAAGACTGATGGATTGGTTGATTAAATTATGATTACTCGAAAAATGAATAGTAAACAAATCTTGTCTAATGCAGAGCAAAACAAAAGTTAGTTTACAGTCAAAACACGTTAGAGAAGCAGTGATTTATACATATCAAGGCTGAATATTGTATCTGCGATTCACAATTTACTTTCAAATGTTGAGTCTAAGCTGCAAAGTATCCGGCGCTTTCCCCAGTGTGGGTAATAAGGCGGCGTGTTGACAGCTTCAGGGGAGCAGAGTCTAAATGCAGGATGACGCTCTGTGGATGGAGCGTGTTCTGGAGGTGACACTTTTGTGCTTTTTCCCCCACAGTGAAGATGTCAGAACAGCCAACGTGGTCGCCGTGGACTCCGTCACCTGTCTGGTGATTGACAGAGAGTAAGTCTTTGTTATTTTACAGTTTAAACAAGGGGATTCCCGAATGAGATGCACTGGACTGTTTTACCCTGAAGGCAGTCGCAAACAAGATGCTTTTGGTGAAGTGGTGACTTCTTCTGTTTCTATATGTACTTTGTTTCCACCATTAACTCCCACAGCCGTCATTTTGACTGCTCCGTTTATTTGACATTCATACGTCTCAAATGTAACCCTTTTCGGTCACTTGACACTTTGGCAATTAAAGCCTCGGCCTTTTTCTCCCATTTGCTGCTTCTGGACTGGTTCAGGTTCTGATTCTGGTCCAACTTGGTTTTAGTCGCCATAGCAACACACTGTTTACTTGTTGCTGTATTTGTATTTGTGTTGTATTCTTTATATATATTAGCAGGTATAATAAGCAAGTATAGGTAAAAGAAAATAAATAAATAAATAATACTCATGAAAAACTAACTCACCTTTTTAATTCAGATTTTTTAAGAATTACATTGATTTTTTTGGGAGCTGTCAGTATTTTCAGAATTCTGGGAGTCCTAGTGTTAAATTAAACCTGAAAACATTAAGAATATCATCTTATTTCTATTTCCTTTGATGTTTAACAATTGAAATTTGTTTTTTTTTTGTTTCCATCCAACACATATTCATACAGCAGGTGCCGCGGTGAAACTGTATTTTCCTCTTGACCCTGAATCCAAAGTTACAAAATACCAAAGTGAAATAATAATATAGGTTTACAAATTCTAGCTTTTATGATGTTAGCACCAAAAATACATGTATATTTAAAGTGGCTGCTGCAACATTGGGTCAACAACACGACTCAACAGGCTAATTGGTTCTGTTTGTGAGGGGGTCTGTTGCCCTCTATTGGTGAAAGTAAGTATTGCATTGACGTCTTCATACTGTACAAGAGAAAGCTTCATTATAATTGAGCTTCAAGATCAAATTATGATACTATGTAGCATATATTTTGTTTTCGGTGAGTTAAGTTAACATATTTAATCATTGAATACTGTAAATCCTAGTATGTCCAAAATGTCTCTAAAGTTAAAAAAATTGCTTCTTCTCTTGCAGCTCGTTCAAGCATCTGATTGGTGGACTGGACGACGTGTCGAACAAAGGCTACGAGGATGCGGAACTGAAGGCCAAGTATGTTAAAAATATGGTACTAATATGGTACTTAAACGTTAAATGTATTAAGATTATTTGATGGCAATGATCTCTTTCAGGATATCAAAGAGAAAAATCAGATAGGATTAATAACATGATATTAATAAGACACTTCTGGCTGAGAGCTGATTGGCTGAGTGAGGGTGGACCTCTCTTTTTCACTTTTCTGTCTAAAAAAGCTGATCTAAAGAAAGTAGTTGGATAGATTTGATTGCATTTTTTTGTGGTCTGAAAGTCAGGTACCCCAGCTTTAATATATCCGTGTACAAAGTGTGCTGACATTTGACATTGTGCTGCTCTCGCTCCTGCTGGCCGTGATGGCGGCGTGTTTACTGCGTGTTTACAGCTGAATATGACTCTTCCTTATGTAAGAACAGATTGTAACACGAGTGCAGAGGACTCCGCTGTCCGGTCATGGGACTTTTAAAGGCGACTCTATAATTACTTTTACATCTGTCACAACAAACTACTTCATTCACACAGCGAAGGTTACATTGTAGAGGTTAAAAAGTCCAAAAAATTGCAAAAAATAATTCTTAGATGACGTGGATGTCTCTCTCAATATGGGTTTTCTCACTTTTTTCCCACAGGATTTTTTAGTTCTGTCGATGCAGGAGGCTCTGAGGACAGTAATGATCGAGGACATTTCAGAATGATGGACATTTATTACCATATATGGACATAGGTCATTCACCTCACTATGGACCAATGACCTATGTGTTTGTTATTATTGCAGTTCATGTGTTTTAATCCTCATCTGTTGTGGAGGAACCAACAATTTTGTAACGTCCCCGAGTCGACTGCTGTTGTGATTTAGGGCTGTACAAAAATACATTATTATAATTGATCCACTCAGTCATCAGGTGGTGCACTTTACGACAAGGATGTGACACTTCACTCACATTACAGTAGATAGATAGACCTTAATTATAAACCATATTGTAATATCTGTCATGTAGTCTGATATAGTTTCAATATTTGCATGACGCACCTATAGAGTGTGAGTGTCTGGGAAAGAGAGTTTTTCACTTTTGGGCCATAAGTAACACTGGTCTAAAATCGTCTTATTTTTCAGCCTGTTAATGAGAGAGCATTCAGAAAAGGTTCTTTTTGAGAGCACTAATCAGAACGTGGACCGGTCTGGGTCATAATAGGTCATAAACCATAATTATGTTAATGTAAATTATTACCTACGGTTATAATTGACCTTTGACTTTGACTCTACAAATTTATCTTGTCTTTGCGATTGTTTTATTCTTTCACTCTGAAGGCAAGCTAGTACTTCCTTTAGCAAAGTCTGTTTTTCCATGTTGAATAAAAAAAAAAATATTTTTTTACCTTTTTTAACCAAGAAAGTCCGAATGATATTAAGAACCTCTTTTTCAAGGGAGTTCTAGACAAGAGGCAGCAAAAGTTACACACAATTTCTTAAAATTACACATTATAAAAACATGCCAATGAGGATGTCTCGAGTGCTCTCAATCTGGACTGGATGAAATCAGTTCAGTTAATTTTCCCCAGGTCCCCAGGTCTGTGAGGATTAGTATTTCCATTCTCAACTTGGTGATACAAAAAATGCCTATAGCTTCCTTTTCTCAAAAAAAAGAAATCATGTCCAATCATAAATCAAAGTCATTATATACTCTTCAGAGTGTCACTTATTGGTACTGTCCCAAAAATAACTAACTCACATCAAAAACATATTGATGAGAAAAGCAGAAGAAAACATTTCAAGAATACATGGCACTCAAGTAGCAGACCTCCAAAAATGTATATTTATGTCAGCCATTATAGCCTTGTCACTTAATTTTTTCCCCTTTTTTTGGCTTGCACATTGTGGTCCACGGCATAAAAAGAGAGAAATGATCTGACGAAGGCTTTGATGGCCAAATGCATCATAAACACATCTGCAACTGGACTGTGATTGCTCTTTCCTTCTTGTCACTTGTCACACTGCCTTCTGATGGACAAACATGTGTACTGCAGCTGTTCCCACTGTGAGAGAACGTTGGATTTGGGTGAATATTGTGAAGATTGATGGAGGAACTTTCTGAAATACCTCTTGTTCCAACCCTGCGTCTTTGTGGGGATTGGGTATTTAGCCTGCGTTCCCAATTCAGAAAAAAATACCTACTTTCCCATTGCCCTTCCATTTTATTTTAAATGTGTTTTGTAGCATAACATTTGACCAACATGGACAAGTGTGTTCAATCTCACGTTCACCAAACCTGGAGCCAATCGGTCGACCCCACCTCCGACACACTCACTTATGGTATTTCTATGGTTTTATCAGAGAGTGCGCCTTGTGTCGTGCCATGTGTGTTTTGTTTTGTGTTACGATGAAAGAGTGAGGAGCCAAAGAAGTGTTTTCGCCATCCAACCTCTTCACAAACTAGTTCTGTATATTGTCTCATTCTATAGCTGAAATACATAAATACCTTACTACTTACTCATAAACGTTTAAAGAACAAGGTAGAAGAAGCAACAATAAGGAAGTACTGTTTCTGTGAATTTGGATGCAACCATATTTGTAAATAAGATTATAAAACATACATACTCTTGTTTTTATCTTTAGATTCATACATATTATATTAATTTGAGCGCTACACATGTTATCCATCGCTGCCAAAAAGCAAGATCCCAAAATTAGAATGCATAAAACTCAAATTAGGAAACGAGGAAACCAGAGCAGGCGAAGGAACCCCCTCGAGAGCGTCGGGGAGAACTTGCAAACTCGCATTGCTCTAAATATCTCTTACATGGTAAATTACAGTCAGTTTCCTTGACACATAGGAAAATACTATGCAATTCACCGGAGTAACTTCTGCAAACACGTCCCACTCACATTACTAGCAAAGCTGACTTGGCCGAAGCTGTCACTCCGGCCAAAAATACCGCGTCTATTTAAACGTTTATTCCAGGCATTGGGGAGAATTGAAATGGGGCGACCAGTATTTGAAACAGAAGCTTGTGTCAAAAATAAACATCTCTTCGTCGCCCTGAAAATAGTGTCGAGAATGGATTAGCTGTTCGGTCGTTAGCACAGGCGCTAACGACCACACACTTAAAAACGCTCACGATCAGTTTTACTTGTGTGGCTGAAGTTGCCAAATCGCATTCACAGCATCCTCGTCTCAGCTGTAGATGTCATTTGTTTATTTAAGCTTGCAACAAACAGAACACAATCTCAATGGCGGCATTATTGTGAGTGTCTGGGTGTGTGATTGGGTTTCCTCCAGGCGCTCCGGTTTCCCCAATTACTCAAAACACGCCCCATTGGTAAAACCCTCTAACCCTGGGATAGCATCTCATTACAGTAACATCGTCTTGGAATGTTGTTAGCATGTACGTCGTTAGCACACATGCGCGCACACATAAAAAGATTTTTATTTCCATTTCCCAAGTAGCGAGAACTGACACATTTGCTTTGACTCATGGTGCAAAAAAAAAAAAACCTCCTGGCTTTCAAAAAAATTGTTTTCTGGAAGTAAATGTATATTGTTGTCTGGGCTATTTATTTACTCAAAAATAAATTATATATATATTATAATTTCGTGCTGCTGTGAGCTGAGAGTACGACTCGCTCTGGGCTCTGACAGTTGTGGACAGCTCTTTTAAAGGATGTGAATGTTTGAGATTGCAGATTTAGGATCATTCAGGGTCAAAACACAGTCAACTTATTTAAACAACCAAAATATTTTCTAGGGATGAAACTAATAGTGATAAACTTCTTTCAACATTCATAAACATTCTTCCAATGTGTCATGATGAATTATATATATTTTTTAATAATAATAATAATAAAAATAATCGCTCTCACTGCAAAAAATATGAGGGAAAAATAGCTTGAATCGATTGAATTTTATCTTAATTATTTAAGATTTGTCAATGGGATAAAGCCATTTAGTCTTATTTCAAGAAATGTTGCTTTATTTTCTCATTCCAAGGGAGAATTTTCTTGTATCTCTTTAAAACAAGATAAATGTCCTTGTCCCATTGGCAAATCTTGTTTAAAGGCAGTCAAAATGTGCTCAAATTATGATACATTTTACCAATTTCTGTTTTATTTTTCTATTTTTTATCCCTTTTATCGATTTTTGCATGGTCATCCTTCCATACTGTACCATACCACAGCATACCATCTTGTCCTTGTGGTGTGTGGACCTATCAGAGCGCCCTTCACCATATATTGAGTTTGGAGTTGACACAGAGGGTTTGGTTTCAGTGGTCACCGTCTGAACGTGCACATACATCACTCACAAAACAACGCTAAATTTAAGCATGACCCAATGTCAAGGTCTGTGTCACAGACCCTCCACTGGGGCCATATTTAAAGGGCTCGCACTACATTTTCTTATTATGTTAAAAATGGTCTGAAAAATGGCTCTTTTCACAACCGTTTCTCATGCTTTAAAATCGCCACATTTACCATATTAGTATTGGAAGTTTCTCTCTTTTTTTGCCCCATTAGAAAACGTCTTGTAGAAGTAAAATGTTGTGATACAAATCCTTTTTTAATTTTTTAAGAGTTAGCTTTAAGATTAGATAAGAGAACCTTTACTCGTTCCACAGTGTGTACATTTCAAACACTTTACAATATACAAAATAATGTGAGTAATCTCTGTTTCCTTTTCCAGTCCCGGCCCAATCAAGGTTTAGTTGAGGATTTGGCTTAATCCCACGTTTGATATGTTGTGACTGAATCTATTCTTCATTAAATTGGCTATTGTTGTTGAGGCTCTTTACTTCCTGTCAGATACCGAATGTTCCTGTTCCACGTCTGGTGTGTTAGTGATGCTGCGATGGCTCAGATTGGCGGCCTCGCTTCTGTCAGTCTGTACCACGTTCTACATTGTTTCACTAAATCACAACCACCGTTTTCAACAACATTTTTTGTTTTAAGATTATTCAGGGCGACAGTGGCTCAGTTGGTTGAGCATTGGCCTTTGAGCCTGAAGGTCGTGGGTTCGAGCCCACCACAAGACTTTCTCCAACAACTCCCAAAAAAAGTCAGCTGTTGTTGTGTCCTTGGCAAGACAGTTAACCTCTGGAAACACCAGGTGCCACAGTGGGACGGCTGCGGCTGTAAAGTGCCAAACTGCTGTTGTGTCCTTAGGCAAGACACCCACATATGCCTTGAATGAGTCTGGTGTGTGTGTGAATGGTTGGTGGTGGTCAGATGCACATACTGGTTGCCTCGCTTCTGTCAGTGTGCCCCAGGGCAGCTGTGGCTACAGTAGTAGTTTATCACCAGCGCGTATGTAGTGAAAGAATAATTACATGTGAAGAGTCTTTGAGTGTCCAAAAAAAAAGCGCTATATAAAACCGAGGCATGAAGAAAACATGTATATATAAGGAACTACTTTTTGCCAAGAGTTACTAGTTTTTCTCAGTCTGTGTGTTACTATGGCGACATCTCAAGTGGACTTGGAATAAGGCTTAAACAGTATTAAATCAACAGAAGTTTGTATTGTCCTCACTGACCATGGCGTAACAAAGATGAATGAATACATACAAGTTTGAATAGGTATCTGAAAAGGAAAATATATTATGAGCTATTCTACTGCAAACCGCATTACTACTACACTCTCTCTGCACTATATGTATTTAAAACTACTACAGCTCAATGTCAAAAGCCCCCACCTCCCCTCCCCTCCGTAACCAAAGCAACGATAAACATGGATAAAAGCCTGATCCAGATGGCGGGAGGCACTTCTCAGGTGTCAGGAACTGCCTTTTACTGGTCAACCTCTCATCAATGTGTCTAAAAATACTTCCGCACTGTCCCTCCAAGTCTACCCCTGTCCCGTTTGGCATTACCCATCTGTATCCCGCTCAGAGCAGACGTAGAGAAAAAACCTGCAAGCAACTTTTGGACGTTTTTGATTCGCTTTCAGGCCTTAGTCTCATCCTGGAAAGCTGCAAGATGAAGTGAATCGTGCTGCTAAATAATTCTTTCTTGGATTTAATTTTCAACTTGATGCACACACAGCTGGAGGATCTGGCAAAGTTTGATCTCAACTCTTCTCGCCATCGAAGTAACCATTGGCCTGACCGAGCCACCTTTCATCATGTAAACTGGAAATTCTCCTCTTCTTTTGAGACAGCCCTGTTGCAAACCCTGTGTCGGACTTTTTCCTAAAGATTTTGATGTTTTTTAAATGAAAGCTTTCCTTAAAATTTGTTTCCGGATCAAAACAAGACCAAGTTTTTCTTTCCACAAATTGTTCTTACATTCCTAATTCAAACTAAATCTTCCTTCTTCCATTTTTTTGTTATATTTTTTAAATGACCTCGTACTTTGAGTGACTTTTTGAGCCTTTGGTGAACCATATATTTAGCTTGCGTAACAAGCTAAACTGTTATCCTTGCAAGACTCAATAGTCAATAATTTTAGTTTTTTAATCTTGAATTGAATTGTTGATATACTGCATAGGCGTTTGAAGATTGAACTTGTGGCTGGACTGAAAATCATCAAGCAACTACATATACTTTTTGCTTGTGGATTCGACATTTTTGCAACTTCAAATCTACCAACACATTGCATATTTTTTGGCGTTTTGGACTGAACGGTTGCAGTCATGAGGGAGTTGTTCCCGGTGAACCCAGTGTGGAGACAGAGGGAGCGTCTGACCAGCCTCCCCCCTCATCACCCTGTCCCCCATCAGCCCCATCAGCCTCACCAGCCCCTCCCCATCGTGTCCTACTCCATTCACACCTCCAAGAAGTTCCCGTTCTTCCACGTCGTCAAATGCTCCAGGTTCGACCCCCTGCTGTACCCCAAAATATATCCTTATATATTTGCTGTTTACAGATTACATTATGCACGAGTCAACTTTTTGCTCTCTCATCCAAAACAGACCTGGAGTTGTTTTTAGTGCCATCCACGCTAATATCAGGGACTTTACTTTCCCCCCCTTTGTCTAAAAGCTCACACAAAAAAATGTTTTGCGCATAAATGAGTTAGTTCACACCCATGAATGTGTTTGCAGCTGGTAATTTACAATTTTGGGAAATAAAAAAAACATATGAATTGAACTCCTCCCTCTGGTGGCAGCAAAGGGATAGTGCATGTCACATTGTTTATAGTTCACTCATTATTGGTTTTGATGGACAATAATAATGCACGATATATCTTCTTTAAACCAGATTACAATATTTTGCAAATAATTGTACTGAATTCAAGTGGCCTTTACTTTGACAATCCCCAGTCTCTCCATAATCAGTGCAAAATGTATCACTTTTTTGTCTCAATTTGTGTTGGAATAATGTGTTGAGCTGCTGATATGTTGGCACTTTGCATACACAAATCAATTAATGAAGGATTTTTGTGATTTAAAAATATAGACTTGACTTCTGTCTCTTGACTTCATGTGAATCAAAACTGTAGCTCGAAACTGAAATGCAGAATACTGTGATTTCTTCATATAGTCCATTGCTCGTTCCACATTTTGAGAATCCTATGCCGGTACAATAAACATTAGCGGAAAGACGGAGATGCATTGTAGCAGGTTGTAGCAGCAGTGCTAATTTACAGCTGCAGTCTCCAAACATGCCTCTGTCACAAACTGTTTTCACACATTCATTTAACTGTGTATGAATGTTTTTTTTGTAGATACGAAGCGGAAAACGCCTTCTTCTCCAGCCTGAAGCTCACAGACTTCAACATCATCGACACTTTGGGGGTCGGAGGATTCGGTCGAGTCGAACTGGTAAAAATCAAAACCAAACATCATATAAACGTTTCCATTGATCCTAAACCCATGTTTTTTTTTACATAAATTATTCCCGTTTTTTATAAATTATTGGCACAAGCATTAGGTGCAAAGAAATGAAATATTCTCTTGTGGTACTTTTTGTTTACACTTACAGTAGTATTATAATATAAATATTTAAATGCAAAAGTATATTATGAATCATAAAAACTTTTGGATTTTTTTTCAAATTTGCTGTACATCTACAGTAGTATCAATACACAATGGCATTTCTCCAATCATCTCCACAGCATTAGGCTTAACCTGCGGAGCTAATAACTTGGATATTTCATCATTATTACCAAACACAGCCGTATTTAGTCAACATTTAACATTACATTCTTCAACATGTGCCGTATTAAGAACCCTGGATCAGGCTTGCTAGTAGTAGTAGCTACTCTATAATGAAGGTATTACAGATATACATGTACATACTATTTCTGAGTCTGATATCTGAATTGTATCTGCTGAACATCCTGTCCTCTGGTGTGTGTGTGTGTGTGTCCTGTGGTGTGTGTGTGTGTGTGTGCGTGTGCGTGTGCGTGTGTGTGTGTGTCTGAGGTTAAGTATCCTCCCTGGAACTCAAAACCAGTCTTGATTATGTGACCTTGGCCTAGAGGGACCCACGGAAACCAGGCCGAGGCTTTGCACACGGGACGTCCCTGGAGCAAAGCCACTCACTGTCCCACCACTCAATTTACATCCAGTCGCAGCATCTTTTTGACACACAAAATGCTGTGTATATTTTGGCTGAATACATGTGGCACGATTATAGATATTTTCTACCTTTTTAACACATTATTTTTCTAGCTTAGACATGATAAAAATTGTAATAATAATAATAATAATAATAATAATAATAATGATAATAATTTAATCAGAATCAGAATTAGAATAATTTTTGTTGCCACGTAAGTAACAAACAAAATTTACCACTTGGAAATTGTTTTGGCAGAGAGCATGCCACTTTTACGTTACAAAGTGGACTATGTAACTTTTCTGCTGCAGTATCTCCCGCTGGTGCATTGCGGTGTGGGGGCTCATGTTTCCTGGAGAAGCCCTCGAAAGGGTTTGCCCAAAACAGGAAGGAATCCCTGCTCAGGATCTCCCATCATGCACTGGGGCTATTTATAACTGTGACGCGTAGAAACTTCAGCTGAGGAAAAGTCTGACCTGCGACCGCTCAGACACGATCCACATGAGACGAGTCTGGGACCAGTTTAGGCTCCAGGAATAAGATGACTGGAAGGTTGCACAGTTTTGTGGAGGCAGAATGCTCCAAATAGGCCGCAGAATGACCTCGTCACAAAGATTTTGGTCACAGGAGAATCAGGAGGACACTTTAAATACTTAATAGTCCTCCATCTCTCATAATGTTTCAGGGCTCCACCTTTTGGTCTGTTTTGTACATAGACAGTAAATAATACAGACTGCTTGTGGCCTTTCTTTCCCATTAAAAAACACTCAAATCATGCAGCATCTTGTGTCCATGTCGGGCAAAAATCTACTGCCTCTAAATAGACCTGGTTCGAAATAAGATTCACCTCCGCAGCATTGACAGACAAGAGGAACTGACTTACTGAGCGCTGGACCAATAGCCATGTTTTGAACCAGGCTCTAAAGCCGCTTTTTGACTTATGGAAAGGGGTCCACAGCGTATTTCCACAGATATGGAGCCAGATATGGAGCCAGATATGGAGCGCAAACATGGCAACCCGCTTCCTTATAGAGCAGCACAGACTGGTTTCACATCATATTTTGGAGAAAAATCTCTGGTGCCTAAAGGGTATGAAGTCTGAAGTATTTGGACATAAAGAGCAGAGGAAATCAGGAGAAATTATACAATAAAAAAGTAAAATGTTGTGATATTGTTATTCTATTTAGGGACAAACCCCTTTATAAGCTTAATAGCAGGTTAATAATTCTCTATGCCAAAACAATCAGTTGTCATTTCACTGCCAATGCTGGAGATGTGCTTTTCTTCTAAACTGCTGCCCTCTGGTGGTAGACACTACACAATTGATCATTCACATTGAAATCCTTTATCGGAAGTATCAGTAGTGCTATATACTTTCAACTTTTCTGCTGATTTGCATTGTTATAGGTTTTATTTATTTATTTCTGTCTTCAACTTCAATTCCTGTTTGGTCATTTGATATACATATATTTGCATCCATATAAAACGTGCTGTCAGAAAGTTTTATTTCTTGGCCCGAGAGTAAAGGCCGAGTCTCTGATATGAGCGATAGGCCCACACAGGATTCAAGTATCAGAGTCTGGAGTCGGAAAGCTTCTATACAGTAAATACTGTGTTTACTGCTTGTTCAGATCATTATTTATGAGACTTTAGTTTAGCAAGCGTTTATTTCATGACTTCCCCTGCATCAGTTCTGCAGCTGTGTTTGAGAATCTGGTCGGAAGAGTTACACTGTCTTCAATCTCCGTGAGTTCATCGAAAATAAGGAGAATTTTTCCAACTCTATCAGTAAAAAATGTACAATTCAATTCATTCACAACAGCAGTCGTGTCTGAAGATTTTCCGAAGTGGTCGATTTGTCAACAACAGATCAGTTCAAACGTAGAAACATTTTTGTGATAATATCCAGCAATAACAGTGAACACACACACACACACACACACACACACATAAATCTGATAAATAAATATTATGATCTCTTGCTTTAGGTGCAGCTCAAAAGTGAAGAGGCCAAAACGTTTGCCATGAAAATCCTGAAGAAGCGACACATCGTGGACACGAGACAACAGGAGCACATCAGAGCGGAGAAGCACATCATGGCCGACGCCCACTGCGACTTTGTGGTCAGGTGGGTGCGGCCTAAGAGAGACGTTCATCTGTGATTGGTTGAAACCTGTCACTCAGAGAAATAATACAAATACACAAAATATAGCATGTTTTTTCTAATAAGAGACTCTTTCTATTGGGACAAACAACATGTGTAATTTATGGGAAAAGATTTAGGTACCCAAGCTTTAAATGCAGTCATTGTTTGATTTAGCACCGAGTTTATAGTATACTATATAGTGTATAGTATACTTTTTTGCTGTGTGCAGGTTGTACCGATCGTTTAAGGACAGTAAATACCTGTACATGTTGATGGAGGCGTGTCTCGGGGGAGAGCTGTGGACCATTCTCAGAGACAGGTATGAAGACTATCGCAAAAAAACCTTTTGACCCATGATCCGCCAATCTGACACGTTTTTAGGTTCTTGCATGTATCCCAGTTTAGATCTTGTTTGTGTGTTAAATATTTCTGTCATGTGTTTTGTTAAAGGGTACTCTAGTAGGGCTTTAATTCTTGTTTTTATATAGTATTGCCTTATCTGATGGCTGAGAGGGGATTGGATAAAAAATTATTGTTGTTACACCGACAGCCACAAGAGGGCACAGTAGGCCTGTCTATAGAGATATAAAGATTAGAAAAATGCTGTGTATATTTCGGCTGAATACATGTGGCACAATTATAGATATTTTCTACCTTTTTAACACCCATTTATTTTCTAGCTTAGACATTGATAATATGCACTGAGTGATTCAGTATGTGTGTTTTTTGTTCCAGAGGTTCCTTTGACGACACCACGACACGCTTCTACACCGGCTGTGTGGTGGAGGCCTTTTCTTACCTCCACGCCAAAGGAATCATCTACAGAGACCTGAAACCAGAGAACCTGCTGCTGGACAGTCGCGGATACGCAAAACTCGTACGTACATTGAACCACACTCCGTAACTCGTCATTCAGCGAAATCAGGAGATGAAACTCTGAAGTTACAGCGGTTCCAAGGAAAAAATAGGATATATTAAATATGTTATATTCTAATTTTGTATTTTGGTTAGTGGATAGTTGTATAATGGCTTTAAAGTGTATTTGGATGCACCAAGACTTTCCTAAGCAGACTCCAAATTTGGATTGGAGTTTGTATGTTACTGGACAATAAAGATAATCATCTTCAACAAATTGCTGTTATATTCATTTAGTGCAGGGGTCTCCAACCTGTGGCTCGGGAGCTACCAGTAGCTCACCAGCCCTTTTCAGGTAGCTCTCCAAAGGATTTAAAATTTAACAAATGATCTTGAATGAATACATTTTGAGCCATTACGTATCTATTATAAGTATAAATATAGGGTTATACAGTATTATGGTATATTTTTCATTATTTCAACATGTTTTGTCATAATCATCAGATATATTTTTAGTATGACTGTAAAAAGGAGTAGCTCTCTGCCTCTTCTGTTGTCTAAAAGTAGCTCTCTGAATGAAAAAGCTTGGAGACCCCTGATTTAGTGGCTATAATCCAATAATAGATGGAAAAAATTTTGGGTTTTTGCTGTTCTATTCTGTTGTTCCAAAAATTCAATCTAAGTTAGCATAAGCGAATGTTTTTACAGCACATAATAATTGCATTGAAATCTTTCCATGTGACTCAGATAAATATGAGTAATATATTTCACACATGTACAGTCTGTCTCTCTCTCTCTCTCTCTAAGCATTTTGATTTCTGTCTAAAGGTGGACTTTGGTTTTGCGAAGAAGATCGGTTACTGTAAGAAGACGTGGACTTTCTGCGGGACGCCAGAGTACGTAGCTCCTGAGATCATCCTGAACAAAGGCCACGACGTGTCTGCGGATTACTGGTCCCTGGGCATCCTCATGTACGAGCTGCTCACCGGGAGGTAAACACTACTATACTGTAGCACATTTTATTTGTATCGCACAACACAATTAAAAGCAGAGATACAGAAAGTAGTAAAGACATCAGACTAAAGTGGAGTGGGCGGAGCTTTCAGTTTCAGAGAGTCAAATTCATTCATAATCCCTGTATGAAATTCCACATAGGTTTGAAGAAATGACTGCTGCTAACTGCTATCTCTCTCTCTCTGGTGTTTTCAACCAAAATATAAACCATTGAAAATTAAGGCTTTATGCTTAATTAACATACTTCATATTTAAATTTAGAGTAACTAAAGCCTGGTGTCTTGTGATAAATGTATTTTTTCTGTTGTCAGTCCTCCCTTCACCGGCCCAGACCCAATGAAAACCTACAATGTGATTCTGAGAGGCATCGACATGATCGAGTTTCCAATGAAAGTCACTAAGAATGCAGCCAACCTCATCAAGAAGCTCTGCAGGTAGGGGGCGCTAAAGGGCAACAGGACTAAAACCAATAAAATATATTTATAGGTTATAATATACACATTTGGTAAAAAAAAAAAAAAAAAAAAAACGGCATCTCCCTCTGGTGGTAGCTTAGGGAGTTACAGGCAGAAAAATATATTGTATCTTTCAAACTTGTTTCACCAAATGTATTTTTATTGAAGATATTATTTCACGATATAAAAAAAAAAGGAAATGTAAAAATAAATAGTCTCATTATAATTTCCAACGGCCAGAAATAATGCTTAATATTGTTTTCTATATAATCAGTAAAATATTAATAATTCATTTTACACATGTTTTTTTTTTCTTCAACAGAGACAATCCGATAGAAAGACTTGGAAATCTGAAGAACGGTGTGAAGGACATTCAAAAGCACAAGTGAGAATAATCCACAACACAAATCATTTTAAACAGTTCTTTATTTGATTTTTACATGGGTTGGTTTTGTGTTTTGAAGGTGGTTTGAAGGGTTTAACTGGGAAGGTCTCAAGAAGGGAACTCTCACTCCACCCATACAACCAAACGTAAGTCCAGAAAGAACCGGTTTGTAACTCAACAGTGCCCCCTGGTGGAAAAGAAAAATGCATTTAGAAACAGTAAATTAATATAATACAGTACATTTTTTACTTTACAAGAAGGAATAGCAACAGTAATAAAAATCAACAAAAAATTGAATACATGAAATTAAAATCTAACATTGTATATATGCTGAACTTTTTCCCTTCACAAAAAATTCCCTGTGAGTCACTATTTGTTGCTTTGGGCTGAGAGCTCATTGGCTGGGTGAAGGTGGTACTTTCTTTTTAACTTCTCTGTCTGAAAAAGCTGATCTAGAAATGTGCCAGAACCAAACATAGCTCTATTATGTTGTTATTACCCCAGCTTTAATACCAAATACATATCTTTCTTATATTAAACAATAATAATAATAATAATAATAATAATAATAATAATAATATTGAAAAAAAAAAGATTTTATTGCAATGTGTCTCCATGAAAAACCGTTTGTTGTATTGTATTTTTCAAATTCATGCAAAAAAGTATTATTTATTTATTACATATTTTTTCCAGGTTTCGTCTCCAACCGACACCAGTAACTTTGACAGCTTCCCCGAAGACACCGAGGAGCCACCGCCGGACGATAACTCGGGATGGGACTATGATTTTTGAACTGTATTTTTTTCCAAATTGCAGATTGGACAAAAACAACGAGAACATTTCAACCCAAGCACCTTGTAAAGAACGTGGTTTCAAAGCGTTTTCAGTTATTTCTCAATCCCTCTCTTTCCAATCTCAAAACCCTCCAGATTCAGATCGTATATTTAGAATGATGTAAAAGCCCTGGGTAAAAAGCTGCAGCCTCCGTTCTATACTTTGAACCCAACTTGAAAAACACAGCAAAAACAAGGCCATAATAGTACTGATTCCTGAAGGAGCAAAGCAAAAACACATTTTTGACTTTTAGCTTGATCCAGTAGTCACCTGTAGACCACCGCATAGTCAAAGAGCAGATTTTTCACTATTTCCTCATTTTGATTTTTGATTGTTATTTTGGTGGAATGTCTGAGGATAGTCCAATGAACCGTTTGTTTCTCCGTGCTTGGGACTGACTCTGCCTGACTTCGACCCTGTGTTTCTGGATTGGCCTCTGGATATAAACGCTCCGAACCCGACAAAGAATCCATGTTTTTGATCATTTTAAGTTCCACATTAGAAACCCAGCCTCCAGGGTCACCGCACTGCCTTGTCCGAGCCTCCGTCGAGCGATTTCCCAAAGATAAAAACATCAAAAAGATTTACATTTTAAAAAACTGGCTTCCTTGATATTATTGTTGTGAAGTTATCTATTTTTGTGTATTCTTCTTGGCAGAGGTGGCAAGTACTGCGCTCAAGTATTTTAGTATAGTACTTTACTCTAGTATTGCAATCTGACCACTTTTTATGAAATGCATGCTTGGTTAGCCCTGCTTCTACTGTACATTGTGTGTGACGAATTATAAGTGCCATACTTCTAAGTTCAGTGACACATATTTGAAGTGGTTGGCAATGGTTGTAAGTTAAATGAGACATGTTTGAAGTGATTAGCCATGCTTCTAAGTTCAACGATAAATTTGAAGTGATTGGCCATGCTTCTAAGTTGATAAATACATGTTTGAAGTGGTTAGCCATGCTTCTAAATTCATTAAAATATATTTGAAGTGGTGAACCATGCTTCTAAGTTTACAAATGCATGCTAGAAGTGGTTAGCCATGCTTCACGGGCATTAAGACATGATTGAAGCGGTTAGCCATGCTTCAAAATTCATTAAAATATATTTGAAGTGGTGAACCATGCTTCTAAGTTTACAAATGCATGCTAGAAGTGGTTAGCCATGCTTCTAAATTCATGAAAACATTTCTGAAATGGTTAACCATGCTTCTAAACGCCTTAAGACATATTTGTAGTGGTGAGCCACGCTTCTATAAGTTCCTTAATACAAGTGGGAAGCGTGGTTAGCCATGCTTCTAAGCTTATCAGCATTCACAACTGCCATCTGCTGCTACGTGTCGTTATTGACATGTTACGTGAATGTTACTTCTTCTACTGTATAATGCACCAAATTGTAAATTGTTATCTGTTTTTCATGTCTGTATATGGTCTCTAGCCATCAGAAGTTGTTGTTCAGTGTCATATAAGCCCATGTGGGCTGGGCACTTTTGTGCACGACACTTAAATAAATAAACTCAAACTCAAACTCTACTTCTACTACCACCTTGAAATTACTTTTATTCTAGTATGGGAAGTGTTTCAATATTCCGGAGAGTATCTATGCTTCTAAACACTTCAGAGCAGCACTGTGGCCGCCTCTGCTTCGTGGACAACCTATAGACATATCACAGTTTGTTGATGCATGGGTTTTGTACACTGCTGCATTTTTCAAGACGTTCTATTGAATTGTGTGGAGTTGAACTTGTGCCAAATGCGTTTTAAAAGTATGAATATTCAGTTGTTAATATTATTGTGTATCTTTTGTATTGACGCCCAGATTGCTGCTTTTAAGTGACCGATATCGTCTCATATTTTGGATTTGTTGTAAAAAAAAAAAAAAAAATAGTGATGGAAATGGTCAGTGTTGCATGATATGAGATCTGTGTTTTTTGCAATGAGGTGATATTTGTATATATTTGGGGTACAGTGAGTTCTTTGTAGTTTCATTTCATGTTTATGATACTGTTTTTTTGAGATTTTACAGTGGCTTCCAGTAGCTGAAGAGATCCCAGTTCAAAATAGCTTTACTGGCATGACTGTTAATAAAACTCTCCTGCCACAGCTGCTGTCCGTCCTGTTTATCTGAAAACAATCTTAGCAAAAGAATTATTGGCATTATTTAGCAGTAAAAGTATAAATATAGACAAATAGCTCTTGATTTCTTGCTGTAAAATGTATAATGTCTATGAAAACATGTGACTTAAGATCCACCGCTCAAAAATGAATAAGAAATGAAACTACCAATATAGTATGTGGTGGATTTGAAGCGACACAGCAGTTAAGAAAGTAAAAACACGTTTGCAAATTTTGGGGCAATATTTGTGTTGTATATAACCCAGAGTCCAGGATTCGTAATTTAGCATAACAGATGTAATCATTTTGTTTGCGTGAATTCGTCATTGTTGCTAAGAGCCAGTGACAACATGTAAGCATCCAAAGATTAGTAAGTAAGTGGGTCATTTTTATTTTCTGTATCTTTTTACAGACCAAGGTCACCCAAATCGCTCTACAATGTTCAAAGTTCAGATTTAGAACGGACTGGACCATCAAAGCCTCTGACCAAACACCATGCATTCACTCAGTCATCACATTCAGACCTATTGTACATGGTAGATAATGTGACAGAGGCCAAATGTGTGTGAGAGGTATTGATAGAAGCAAAACCGTTTAGAGAGCAATAAGATAAGATACACAGATTTCTACACAGTTACACTTTTGTGGAGTGAAAGTTAGGTACCCCAGCTTTAAACCGCATCTAAACTCAAAGGCTATAGACAGAAAATGGCGGCTCTCTTTGGCACATATGTAGTCCGGCTATAGTAACGAGACACCAGTTTAGACAAACATTAAAACAACTAGAATTGGAACAAATGGTATATACACATGGAAGGTACACTGTGTACCTGTGTAATGGAAGGGTACAATGTTCTGCCAATCTAATCTAATCCAATTCTCTTTGTTCATGTAACAAATGGAACACTAAAACACCTCCATAACAAAGAACAGCGAGAATAATTATAAACTCGAGGCTATACAGAGATGAGAGAGCTTTTTCTTTCTCCTACTCTCACTACTTTTAATAAATCGTGCCTGTGTGCCCTGGATCACGTAACCCCCCCCCTCTCCTCTTTTTATACAACCTCTGCTTTTTTTTTTATGAATGAGCTGTGACACACGCACGTATACGATGTGGGGTGACGTCAGCGTGCTCCACCCCCAGTGATGCGGGAAAAACCTCACGACGAACGAGTAGAGCGGAGCATCCCAGGCACTAGATCTCTCCCTCTCTCTCTCTCTCTCCCTCCACCCACCCACTCACTCACCCAGCCCCCCCTCCTCCCCTCCCCGTCCCCTTCTTCGCGAGGACCCGATGAGTAATCCAGCGAAACGGGGGACGCTTCTAAACACACCCTCTCCATCTCCATCCCTCGCTGTATCCGTGCGTAAAAGTGCGCGCACGCAGCATCAGCAGCAGCAGAGACGCGGCTCGCCTTTCTGCAAACATCCGTGGATTACTCTCAATTTTTTTTCCCCTGCTGCAAAAATCCTCAAATTAATCGAAATGAGGTGGAAAAGATAAAACAGCCAGCGGTGATTGATGGACTCTCCCCTCTCTCTCTCTGCACGGACACGGCATGGCCATACTGCGTGGACTGGTACCCGGCTACTAAGGCTAGTCGCGTTAGCATAGATCTAAAGACATTTTTGCAAAGACTTATAGCACGATAAGGTTACTTTTTTATAGTCTCGACAACGTGCTCTGGCTGCGTTTGAGCTAAAAACGTGGACTTCTTAGCTCGAATCTATACCTTGACGTCAGCAGTGGGTTGCGTGATTAAAATAGGTTGCAAGGAATCTGCCCATCTCACCGCTGATCGCTGTCTGGAAACGTTAATAGTTCTTCAATAATATATACTACAGCATTGGCCCTTGATTTAGCATTTGTTGGGGGAAATATTGATGAGATTTTGAGAAAGGAAATGCCATCACTGCAGATGGGAACAGCTGTATATGACCGTCTCTGACTATTTCTGTATAATCGCGTAAAAGCGTTGATTCCAATAATATTCACAACATGTTCTTAATGCTAAATGAAATTAATGGTGTATTAGTATGGCTCTATACAGTTCTGTGTTAAAATATCTCAGTTCCTTAAATTGATGTGTAAGAAAATTGAGTTTTGTGTGTAAATTTTTAGGACAATTTTGACCAAGTTTAAAGTCTGCTAGTGTCTTTTATATACACATTATCTTGGGCTGATGTTATAGGCTATCTCTGTTTAAGTCTATAGTCAATATGGAACTAGCGACTAGTGGCCAACCAACGCAATGACACCTTAAAGGAACCACAAACTTTTTTTCATTGATGATTTTTTAGACCAAGCGGATTTCCATTGAAGGCATCCGTACAACCGTCTCGGGAGCTGGTCAATCTCTGAGTCAGTGCTTCTGGCATGTTCTGCTTCTGTTTGCAAAGTTCTCTACTCAAGCTCCAGGCGTTGGATGTGGAGGGGGGGTCGTCTCTGGGTCCGTCCCCCGAGGAAAGCCCTCCCCCTCTGGGCAGCAAAGACCAGAAGAGCCCCTGTAGTCCCGTGGTGGAGGTGGGAGCGGTGAAAGACGGGAAGACAATCGCCATGTGTCACAGCGTCGATGAGAACAGCCCTCCAGGTAAAACATGCCAGAATCTTCCGCAATAGGGCATTAAAAGAAAATGATTTATACTACTTTAAAAACTGAATGGGATGAGATGTGTCCAAAAGTTTTAGATCAAGGAGCCAATGCTGAAATACAGTGGAAGCACAAACAGGAACCTAAAAAGTAGAACATTTTAAACGATTACATTTAGCACAGTGTCACAATCATTCTGGCTTCTTAAAGATTAGATTAGGTAAATCCAAGCGATGTGTTCATCATTGATTCAGCATTGATTTGAACCACATGAGCAAGACGCCTGAGGACCAATAATAATTGTTCAGGGGACCATATTATTCCCAGGGGCCATAGTTTGGACTGGTTTAATGGGGTACTCGCCCAAAAAACAGAAAAAAACACATTATAGCTAAATGGATTACTAAGGATTTTGACAAGCTGAAAAGTGCGGACATGAAAAACTCTTGATAAGTTGGGTCAAATGCAGAGGATACATTTCCATACAGGGACAGTCAAACCAAACAAGGGTATTTTGTTGTTGGTTGATTCTCTAGATGGGGGCTTTGTGGAAAGTTATTGGGAGGTTCGGCCTCAATAAAAGATGAAAACTTGTTTTCCAGCTGAGAGACATTGTCCCTCTAGTGTGTCCCGGGTCTCCCACAGGGTCTCCTCCCGGCGGGACATGCCCAAAACACCTCCCCAGGGACTCTCCAAAACCACCACCTCTGGGAGGCCTTCGGAACAGACGCAGAGCCACCTCAGCTGACTCTCGCCGGTTTGAGATTATTGTTAGAATCAGAGGTTAATTCACTCTAATTAGAATATTTTTTCAACACAGATCAAGGACAGACCTTTTTTATTAGCGTCTGCTTCATTCTTGTGTCAAAAGTCTATGAATGAATCTGAGTTGTTGACTGTAAACACATTTGCATACAGCAGTGCCTCGTGTTCATTGTCATATTTGAGCGCCGTCATGTTTTTGTGGTGGGTTTTGGGAGTTGGAGACTGTGCCAGATCCTTCTGCTGCTCGCTTTATTTTTAGCCCAAAGACAGAGAGAGCGGCACGTGAGCTCGGGCTGAACGGGCGAAAAAACCGGTGACGCATTTAGAAAAGTACTATTTTGGTGCCGCAAGACTATTTTAGTGCAGAGAGAAATGAGGCTGAAAAGAGCAGTTCAATTCAAGCTCATTCATAAAACTTCTTTCAAGGCTTTTCAGCGCCAAAACAGGACTGACGTACTTAAGGTAACTTCAATGACTTGATTTTATTCCCAGGAATGAAATCAATTGTATATCTTTGGCTGCGCAGTGGTTAGCTTCACGCCAAGAAGGTCCTGGGTTCGATTCCACCGCCAGACAAGGCTATTCTGTGCGGAGTTTGCAAGTTCTCCCTCTGTGTACATAGGTTTCCTCCGGGTGCTCCGGTTTCCTAGCCTGGCTGCAGCCGAGCTTTAGCCCCGCCTACTTAACATTTTGTGAGGATAACCCATAGTCAGGCCTCCAGTTTCCCTACATTTACAATAGGTGAGGGTTGAATGAGAGTGTGTTTGTGAGTGTGTGGGGACTATAGATTTTTTTAATGTTAACTTTTGTTAAACCAGGGAAGTCCCATCAATCAAGAACTTTTTTTTTCAAGCAAGTCCAGAACAAGTGGCAGAAAATGTTTCACACAGTTACACACAATTACAGATAATGACAACATTTATTTAAAGAAATGAGCGACAAAAAGCTACAGTCTCATTAATACACACTGTGCCATCCAAATAAATAAACGTATATTCTGACCTTAATTACAGCTGAATTCTATAATACCAAATGCACTTGTCATTCTAAGAGCAACTTTAGATACCCCAGCTTTAACCAAGACAAATAGATCCAGCTCTACTGCAGCTGGTGTGAGTCTTCTCTTGTTTTTTATTGAACCTTTTTCTTTTGTGCCTGGACAGCTGGCGCTGTTGTAAATGTGCTTCAAATAAATCTGACATGGACATTGTGTATCCTCAGAGCTGCTGAGCGTGGGGCCCAGGCCGTCGTCGTCTCCTCGTCACCAGCCTCTGTCCTGTATCCAGACTGAGGCGGCCCTGAGCCCCTCTCAGGCCTCGCCCCTGTCCCAGCGGGGCAGTCCTCAGGAGGGGGGAGGCGCGCTCCTGCAGCAGCTAGCAGGAGGTCCCGGCCCCGTGCCCTCTCCACGCTGCTTCAGTCTGAGCCACAGGTTCAGCACGGACCCCGACACGGCCCCATCGCCGCCCTGCAGCCAACAGTACATGTTGTGAGTCATGACCGGACAAACACTACATCCTGCTGAGACTGGGCCGATCCTCCACACAGTCAGAGGCAGAGATGTTTGACAGATGGATCAAAGTCAAATCCAATCACTTTTATTTGTAAAGCCTGAAACAGTCACCTCGAGGGGACTAGTCCTCAGGTCCAGGGAGTCCAGGATTTCAGACTGGGGACTAGTCCTCAGGTCCAGGGAGTCCAGGGTTTCAGACTGGGGACTAGTGTTCATGTCCAGGGAGTCTAGGATTTTAGACTGTGGACTAGTCCTCAGGTCCAGGGAGTCCAGGGTTTCAGGCTGGGGACAAGTCCTAAGGTCCAGGGAGTCCAGGTGCAGTCCACTTGTCGAACACACAGAGGGACAACTGGTGAACAGCAATGCACAGACTACACTTAAATCATCAAGTCAAATTAGTTGAAGAGTTCCGTTCCTCTTATGACTACAGTATAAAGCCTTATTTCCATTAGCCCTTCTTGGCCCTACTCTACTCTACTCGGCTCTACTCTACCCCAATTATGAGCGTTTCCACTGACCTTGTTTAAACAGTACCAGGTGCTTCTTCTGGGTCAGTTTGGCTCTGGTACTAAAGTTTTCTAACTGACAGTTATTGCCCAAAAAGAAAAAGTAATTGTGTTTGTGTACTTGTGTGTGTGTCTGTGTGTGTGTGTGGTACAGGAGCCGTCGCAATGAGAATCATGAAGACCCTGGACCACCCTCCGTCCCCTTCCTCACGCGACACATCCAGGTTCTCAAGAGGAGAGTCCGGAGATTCGAAGAGCAGTTTGAGCACGAAACGAAATACAAGGTAAAATTTGGCAAAACATAAAACAAGCAGTGGTTTTTAGCTCCATCCACGCTAAAATCAGCAACGTCTGGGATTAATACGTCCCCCCCATCCCTTATATCCATATGCTTCTTTTATTGTCATTTTTGTTAATTATTCAGAATATAATCCCCTCTTCTAACACTAAATGGACTGTTGTGTATTTGTGCCATGTCTTTACTTCAGATTCTAAAACATGAAATTCCAAAGTAAATATACTCAACATCTTGTTTAAATGCTAAATTGAACAGAAAGACTGCATCATATTTATTCTTAAGGCAAGTCAATCAAAAGTGAAATATTAAATGGATTTGTTTCCAGCCGTCTTATAATGACAAGTATTCGAACCCAGAGATTGTGGGCGTCATGAATGAACTGGCCAAAGCTCGCAAACAGCTCAAAGGTGAAGTTTCAGCCGTTCTCTTGATGAAAATGTTATGATTATTGTGCATTCCAAAAGCTGATTTGATGTTATTGTTTGGCAGAGCTGCGCCTCAGACAGTCAGTGTTCGAGTCAAAGGAAGATGAAGGACACGGGAGTGACATCTGCAGGTAATATCCACCACTCAAATACATCTCGAAATGTTTTTGTACTTTTAAAACCACTGCAATGAAATCATATGAGAAATATTCTATGGAAAGATAAAAAATATGTGTGTATTTATGTATTGATACCTTACAATGTAATGTACAATGTAACTCTTTTTGTACTATGGGAAATTATCATGTAAACTTTTTTATTCTAACTGCTTCCTGATTGGTGCATTACCCACATTAATATTTACAACAGGTGTTTTCCAATCAAAGTCAAAACTATTGTCAAAAACCTTTGTTGTTTTGATGTGATTGCAGGTACGGCAGTGGCCACCAGGGGGGGTCAGGGCACAAACCCACACTGGACGAAACAGTGGAGTCTCTGTTCAGAAGACTGAGGGAGAAGAGACAGAGCCTGGGGCTGCCTGAAAACATGAAGGTCTGTGCTTAACATTATTCATATTTATCATTGTACAACACCACACAGATAGTAGATTAAACTGGTCTAAATGTGATATATTTTATGTAATGATAAATTTGGGTATAGGATTTTTTCGTGTTGACTTTTGATCATTACTTTTGTGCTGTGTTTTGAGCAGGAGATGACGCAGGCTCAGATGGTTCTGGAGAAAATCACTCTTCAGAAATGTCTGCTGTATTTTGAGAGTCTCCACGGACGACCGGTGAGTTTCACTGATTCATGCGGATACAACTCAAACTTAGAGAATTGTGAAAAGGGAAAACATTCTCAACACACCCATTTCGTCCGTTTGTACCCGCAATCTCTTCCATTTGGTCATTACTCAAAGCTTCGGACCAAAAGTGTGGGAGAGGATGTAGATTAAATACATTGAGAGATTTGACTTCAGTTTCAGTTTCAGTTTATTTCAAAGGGGACAATGCAATTTAATAAAACACACGATTAAACACTATTTAAAAAAAGCCTAAATTAGCGAAGGAGGCTATTTTTCATCTGTGGTCCCCTGGCCGGGAAAAGCCATCATCCACTTCAGACATTGCTTCTGTCAAAAAACTCTAATTTCTCTCATTTCCTGTGGATATTTGACGGTGTATTGTTCATCTCCTGTATTTATTTTGTTTTTCTGTCTCAGGGCACAAAGCAGGAGAAGAACCTGGTGAAGCCGCTGTACGACAGGTATCAGATGATCAAACACCTGCTGTGCACCAGCCCCACCTTCTGGACGATTGTGAGTTAAACATTGATGTACTCGAGTAAATGCATATACTCAGTTACACGTATATTTCACAAAGCAGATCAGGCATATTCAAAGTTAAACGCTGATGGGACAGAATCTCTCTGAGCCATGTTATGTGTCTCTCTAATTGGCCAACCCCACCTAAGTTCAGTGTCATCCAGCCAACTTCAGCTCCACCAATATAGCCATGCTGAAATACTGTTGATATGAAAAATGTCTTAAGTTTTCGATTTGAATTTTAACGGCTCTTTAAACCTGTTGAACTTGGAAAAATCCCTCGAAATGCTGCATAAATCAGAACGCTTAAATCCATAATACAAAGGAAGTGTATTGGGTATTAATGACAGCTAAAATCTGGAACAGTCTTCCTGAAAATGTGAGACAGACTTCTCTGACAATGTGAAAATCACTCTCTTTAATATATTGTTATTATTCATGATTGTAATACATTGTGCGACTGTTTCTATCTTGTTTTGTTCAGCCTTTTGAATTGAACTGTGCTACAAATAAACTTGCCTTGCTTTGCCTTTCCCAGGAGGAGGAGGAGGACGGCTCGGACGAGGACTCCATGGAGGTGTCGGTGTCGGTGGAGGAGCGCCCGGTGTCCGCCCCCTGCAGACTGGGGGGTCCCGCGGAGGAGGACAGCGATCGGGACAGTGACCCGGCCTTCGTCTCCCCCCTGGATGAAGTCAAAGCTGTGAGACACGGACCAGCGCTGCACATGAGCAACCTCCACGAAGCCTCCAGGTGGAATACTGCAGCTGCCTCTAGATTACAGACGGAAGGAAGAGTTTTAAAGGGGGCTTAAAGCTGGGGTATCTAACTACCCCCCCATAATATAACATGTTGTTTGGCTCAACAGAAAGAGTCTTGCAAATGTAAAATATGGGAGAGAAATCAGATCACACCGGGCTGTCTTCATCTTTTTAGAGAACGTTACCCTTTGCAGACTTGTAAGAAAGAGCCTTCTGAGTCACTATTTGACGCTTTGAGCTGAGAGCTGATTGGCTGAGTGAGGGTGGTCCGCTGTTTTTCACTTTTACATGCCGATCTAAAGTTCTTACAGAAGCCAAAAAATATGTGATGCAATGTGAAAACTAGAATCAGTGATAGAATCAGAGATTGAACCAGATGTTTTATATTTTATTGCATAGATAAAAATTTTTGTGGTGTGGAAGTTTGATACCCCAGCTTTAAATCAGCAGCAAGTGACCCTCAATCATTTCTGCTCCTCTGAACCTCAGGCACCAGCTGCTGGAGTGTCTACGTCAGACCAGAGCCGAGAAGAAGACCAGGCGCAAAGTTCTCCGGGAGTTTGAGGAAGAGTTTTACCGTCAAACTGGAAGGTGACAACCTCTATGGGTTTATTCATGCCTCAAAATACCTGTATTATATTTGTAGTCACAGTATAGGATTTGTACTTTTTTTTGTTTCCATTAGAAGCACTCAGAGATGAACCAGGAAAATGATGTCTATACAGGGACAGAATCAGAAGCAAACCTGAACTTGAGTAGGACTAAACCAATTCTGAACACATTTACTTATATTTTGCCAGCCTTATAGCGGTAATCTATGACATTAAAAAACCATATTGCTCTAAAACTATGCCATCACTTTTACTTTCATTTAGCCATCAATATTTACACACATCTGTAGAGACAGTTTATCCAATGCCATAAAATAAACAGCTCAGTTTTAACATAATTGCACAAAAGGTAAAATAAATAACAGATCCATGGTATGTCCCTTTAGTCTAATATATACTGTAGGTCACACTTAGTAGCCACCAAACTGTGATCCAAGAATTGAAAACATTGACAAAACAATCTTATCAAGGCCATTAGGGGCAAATATCTGGCAATAAATAAATGTTTGGATATCTGTTTTTTGAGTGTGCAAAGCTTTCTTGCTTTATGAATTGGTCTCTTTTGAATTTGCACCTATATTTTGTGGTCTGCGATACCTAGACTTTTGGAATCAGACTTAGCGCTATGTGTTAGAATTGGACTGAATGTGTTTCTATCACATATTATGAAGCATGGTTTATGGCTATATCTCACTATATGTGGCAAATCACATGTAAACTATAATATAATAATAATAATAATAATAATAATACTTTGAATTTATATTGCACCTTACCAGGAAACCTTAGTGCTACAGATTAAAATACTATCCATCCATCCATCCATCCATTTTCTTCCCCTTAATCCATTTCTGGGTCGGGGGGGGTGGCAGTCAGAGCTGCACCCAGTACACTCAGCACCAGCCCCTCACTGATCCTCCTGCAGGTGGTGAGTCCACAGGAGCTGAGATCTTTCAGTGGGGGTTTCAGGCAAAGTGGGGTTAAGTGTCTTGCCCAAGGACACAACGACAGCAGTCATCAGTGGGAATCGTGAAGTAGGTCTTGTGGTGGGCTCGAACCCACGAACTTCAGGCCGAAAGGCCAATGCTCTACCAACTGAGCTACTGTCGCCCATTAAACTATACCACAAAAAACAAAACAAAGTAAAAGCATCAGAAGTACATATAATATCAAAAAGAAACATGAAGGGGTTAAAATCTCATAAAATTCCGAGTAGGCCTGAACAAAAGGGAAGGTTTTTAGGCCTCTTTTTTCCCTACAGAATCTGCCAAAAAGAGGACCGCTCTCCCATAAAAGACGAGTACCAAGAATACAAGCAGCTGAAGGCCAAACTCCGCCTGCTGGAAGTGCTGCTGAGCAAACAGGAAGTTCCCAAAACCATGTGACTTTTCCCCCCAAACCATCTCCCAACCTGCCTTTATATAATCCAATCACAGCCCACATGTAAGTACTGCAAGTGACGGAGGATTTGGAGAAATCTATGTATGGAGACCAAACGTATGCTGCAGTTTTGGAGAGAGGTAGAATAGAGATTTTGTAAAAGGTCAAAAACAGTTGGCTAGAAATGGTCAAATTAATGAAGCAATTGTATATGTTTTGGAAACGGCCTCTGTGGTAAAAATGCCTTATAAACTGAGGGTAAGGGTCAGTTTCACAATTTAGCCTGATTTGGTGGAATTTCACGGAATTATAGTATTACACCTGTGAAAAACATACAATCATTGGAAACGTACAAGAAGAAGAGCAGAGATCTAAGGTGACGTCACACTAGGATGTATTCTCATTGCCAACAAGAAAGTAGTGTCCAATATTGGGACTCAAATTTTGTTGGCATTCTTGGTCATTTGTCCCAGGCAAAGAGAAATTTGCCAAAGTTGTTGGTATTTTGTTCTTTGTATTTGTGATTAAGGGTCACAATCAGGTTAAGGTCAAAGTTAGAAACAGCTAATTTGTTGGAGGTTAGCTTTGGGGTTAGAAATTATGTTATCAGAAATGGGTTATTTATTGACGTTACTATAATACAAAAAAAATTCTTTGGATCAGAAGTTACACGTCAAAAAAAATTGCTATTTGCAGCTTTACCGTCAGAGAGGATAAAGAACCTCATCCATTGCTATTACAAAAGACTCAAAGCTGTTCAAGAGATAGATGTTAAAGGGGAAGTACACAAACTTCTTCATAATTATACAACTTAGAAAAAAACATTTATTCCCACTAAATGGCTTCACACAATAATGTATAATCTGGCTATAAAAATAGAACACGTCGAAATTTCTGCCTTGGGAGTGCAAACACAGTGGTATGACGGAAATCCATTTTCAGATGAGTTTTGAGGACTATTTTTAACCCAGGCCGAATCTCCACGCAAGTTCAATAATATAGACTTTGGAGACAGCCTCAGATTTCAGCCTAAAGTTCGGCTCTAATTACAACAAATGGATCAGAGCATCTCCAAAACTGCAGTTCGTTTGAGGTTTTCCGGGTGGTACCTATAAATACTGAACCTTTTGACGGACTTGCCGACATTGTGGGCGTGGACTACTATACTATACTCCTCTCTGACTGTACTGTACAATCAATATACAGGATCAACATGGCCTTCTTCTTCTTCTCTCATATGTGATGTATATAAACCAGCATCTATGACCATCAGCATCAACCACAGAAGAGAGTATTTCTGAGTGAGCTGAAATCGTGCCAAGCTGAAAGCACTTTAGCGTGTGTGTGTGTGTGTGTGTGTGTGAAGCGGACGACGTGTTGCTGCTAAAAAGCTCCAACAAAACTGCTTTTAAAAACGACTTATTACGAGTTTTACGTCTCAAAAGACCAAGATTTGATAGTGTTGGACCATAAGGCCTTGTTGACGGTCCGAGTTTTTAAATTGACTCCTGATATTTGGGTTTAACCTTTCTATCACTTTGACTAAAATGGAGAAAAAGCCAGTTTGTTCAATTGTTTGGACCAGTTCTTCTCAAATAAATGTGTCTTTAATAATATTTAGCTTCCTGGAGAATTGTCTAACACACTGCTGTTTCACATATTCAATGGAAAAGAGAAATTTGAAGCCACCAAACACAACAATATAAACCTTTCAACGCATGGCCAGAGATTGACTGATCCGGATTATTCTGTGCTAATACTGGCTGTTGTATAGGCAGCGAAAGGCAACCAAAAAACTCAATTGTGGTTTTTAACTGATATATAATAAACGGCAGTGGTTCCCAACCTTTTTTGCCCCACTCACCACAATTCTATGATGTTGAGGGCGGCAAGATACCCTGGAGTTTTGGACTAATTTCGTTGTTTTTTAGGCTTTACTGTTATACCAAAGTCTCCTACTTTATTATTGGAAAGTTTGTTTTTAGCCTAATAATCTTTTGCATTTGATTTGTTCATTTTTTACCAAATTATAGCTTTTATTTTATTTTATTTAACTGTTATATTTTACCACATACAGTACTTGAACCGATTCAAAACTGGACCTAACGTACAGTAAGAAAGGCTTGTCATTGCCTTCTGTACTTGACCAATTATTATTCATAACTGTGTCCTGGGTTCAAGGTTTAGAATATAATACATCTTATGGTGGTTTTCTTGAGAATTATTCTTTTTAAGATTAATTATAACATGCCTTAGTCTCCCATATTAACCTTTATATTTGCAAGTATTGGAAATCATGTCAAGTTCCCCCATGTAATACCCTTGCGTACCACTAGGGGTCGTGGATAGCTATGAATACGTTTAAACATGCAGATAAAAAGCCCCATTGAATCCTATGATTAATAAGTCCTATTACATTATATTAAAGGGCCAAAGATAGAATTGGTCCAGCTTGAATAAACCAGTAGTCTAACCAAAATGTACCAAAAAAATCTCTCTCCAAATGTACAAGATCCACATTTTGAGAACCACTGGTCTAATAATAATCAGATGGACGTTCATGTGAGACAAATGGAGATTGTAATCTGAATGGACTGGTCATATCAGCACTTTATGTTCAAAAGGGATTTTTTTTTTTTTAATCCAAAGGTTATAATATTTCATGTATTTGTTTTGTTTGTGACATCATCAACACGGGACGACATTTACAGTTCTGAGAAAAAAGAGACTAATATTGTCAGCGTTTACAATCTCAAACCAGTTCTTATGATGACGCCGCTGAGGTGCAATATATTTAGACTATTAAAGATAAAAGTTATTGTTAAATGTTTATGATTTGTGGGTAAAGTGCTATTTACAACATTTTTACTGAGAGAAAAGCAAAGCAGGATAGACCACCTCCAAAGTTCGGCCTCGGAAAAGTTTTACAATCAGATGCAGAAATAGCGCATCAAACAAGATCAAAGAAGTTAATTAATGATTGAATAGAGTAGTTATTATCTTGATTTGATTCTGGAATTAATTGAGATTTACCACGAGCGCTCTGGATTGTGACATCACACTGCAAAGCCTTTTGGGAATTACAGCAAGTGCAATCAGGTGCAGCTAATAGAGATTCAGCTAAATGTTACGTTAAGAACCAATTAAAGAAATAAATTCACGTTTTGAAGAGATAATGGAATTTACCAGTAGTTCTGAACTTGTTATTTTTTAAATTATTTTTTTGAATTTTCCAAATTCTAAATTTGATACAAAAAATATTTCATAATATTTGTATAATTTCATTTTTTTTGTATTCAATTTCAGGTACCCCAGCTTTAGACAAATAAAAAACTGAACCAAATAAAAAACATTAAAAAAAAATCTCCCAGGATTGTGTTGGAACTTCAAAAAGCAGCACCATAAATATGAAGGAAAACATATTTATATCCATTCCATCTTATTTCATATACAGTTACAATTTGCCCAGTGATATAAACTGTGTAAATACCTTTGAATGTCAGAAATGTAAAGTATATATATGAAAAAAAATAAAAAAGGGCTTGATTTAACTCAAAAATATAACCAGATCTTACGTGTCTTGATGGAAGATAGAAGTATTTTCTGCAACTCTATGTGTTTGTCTGTGTACAACTCAAGTATGATGCAAAAAAAAGCCTTTAAAATCTGAACTGAACGCTGGTCATTCTGTGCATGTGCCATCTCAGCTCAAATGTTTCGTGTTGTGCAAATCTGGCATGAATTTGTAATATGTTTTGGAATAAATATTTTTGCAATACAGTGTGTCCCAGTGGTCTCTGTGTGTGTGGCCGATTTCAACCTGTAGCAAGGCAAGTATTTGTATTTGTATTTTTATTATTTTATTGACAAGTACAGTTCATACACAAGGCAGCTCAAAAAACAAAAGGCATTAAAATAAAATAGATAAATCACAGTAGATTCAATGAAACAACACAAGAAAATACATTTATTTGGCAGTTGGTAACGTTTTTGTCAAAAAATAGATTGATATAGAAGAGTGTTAATTCCGTCTAATAAAAATACTTGTATCATTGTATTTTAATCACTACCGGGATTTTTTAAATTTTTGCCTAAATTAATGCTATATTTGATCTGAACCCACTTCTGTAATAAACTACAGTAGATTTATGGGACTACATCAACACGGCATTATTGGACTGAACTAAAACATATTACTATTATTTTTATTATTAAAAAAGCAAAGTGTATACATATTTTACTCTAGTGTGCTTGCAGCTCAACAAACCTGACTTTACTTATTTTATCCTCTCTGTATCCATGGTTTTTCCTTTTGTCTCTAATCTCAAAGCTTGGTTATAGTTTAGTTTTCATATAAGTGATCACTAAAATACAGAGATGCACTGATTTGCTTTGAACATTGTTATAATTTTAGTTTTAAGTTTCATTATAAGAAGTAGGTTCAGATCAGTGGAGTGGAGGGGTAACATATACAGTCAATGGCAAAAATATTTCAGACAAACTCACGGGATGTTCACAATGTTGCAGAGAAAAAACACACAATTCATGAATGGACGCACGTTTGGATCTGGAACCGTGCGTCTGTTTTATTGTACGTCTCCTAGTACTTTGAATGCATGCTGCGTGTTTTGCCTCCGCACGGTAATCTCCTTATATAATCCTGGTTTAATTCACTTTTGCCTTTGGTCATGTAAACCCCCCTCCCTCCGCACTCCATGTAATCCTGCGGGCTCACATCACTCCATCAATGTTGTTTCAGTCTCAAGGCTGCGGGACAGGACTCTACATACGCTGAAGGGGAAATAAACCAGGAAATTATTATTATTACTTTATTGTTTTTGACGGAGAAGATGACGGACAGTCCAGTGCTGGATTTGAAAAGCAGACTGCGGTGTGATTCCGAAGGTTAGTGTCACTTTAATAGACATTTCTTAACATTTATGGCTCTTATGTGTTATGTGTTATTGTTGCATTCCTATATGTTCAAAACTTTTTCTCTTCTCTGATCTGTTATTGGTGAATCGACAACTGTGTAAAGTCCTCCAAGACCACTGCTGGAGTTATTTAGGGCTATGTATAAAAATACACTGAATTTAAATTGAATTAAATTAATGTAAATTTAACTTTAAGATGGGTTCCTTCATACCTGTTGCCATAGAGATGTTGGTTTGTTCCTCAGTATGAAAAAAGTTGTGTGTTATTGAACTATAGACTTGTTTACCTCTCCGCAGATATGACCTGTAGGTTAGCACGGTGATGTCACTCGCTTGTTTTGGATGGAGATGATTATGTGGAATGCAGTATAATGGAAACACATTTTATTATTATAATTATGGTCAAGTACAAATGTTATATCCTTTATTATTAGAGTGTGTGTCAGTGTCTGTAGCCTCACTGTTTAAATGTGTTTTGTCGTTGGTGTTTGAGTGATATACAAATGTATTCAAAACCAGAGCTGGCACATACAACTTAAGTAGGTGCTAAACATTGACCAATAGAACTCAACATTTAGTTAACATTACACTTATATGTTCCTGATTGGGGCACATTTCTTTGTTCAAAGTACAATTACCGCCTGTCTTTTTTTCTAAAAGTTGTGGAATATTCTAGTAAATGTTATTATTACATAGCACGTTTTTATCAAAGTGCTGCACAGAGATAAAACTAACACATTTATTTATACAGGTTTGCCTGTTTATATGTTTGAAAATAGAATCAGTAAAACATTATGATGTATGAAGTAAAAGCAATAAAAATCTCATGAAAACAAAAAAATACCAGTTATTCATATTAAAAAAAAATGTTTTAACAAAAAACCCCCAAAAAAACAGAAAACCACAAAAACTCGTGTGATAATCTTTTTCCAAAATCAAATTATTAACAAAACACGAGACAAACTGTAGCAATATTTGCCAAACTTGAAATATTTCATAATAACTGGTCACTTTTATGTAGATAAAATACAAAGTACTGTATATTTTGACCTTCATCTTCTTACTGTCATTATACTGTTGCATTCTGGGAAGTGTAATATTCCCAGTTGATAAACACGTTCCAGCAAAACAACTTTTGTAAGACTTAACAAACCGCTAAAGTTAAAGATCCATATGGTATTTCAAACTCAACTCTATGTGTGTGGTGAATATCTTTGATTAAAGAACCTCATTTTTTATCACATGAAGTGGGAAAGCAGCTCCATCTCAGTCCCAGTTTACAGCCAGGAAATACCAGTGGGAGGTTCAAAATATTCCAGTTGATAGTTGGATTGAAGCATTAGAACCGACAGCTAAATGAATTTATACAACATTTATGAAGCTGCAGAGTCCGAGGGGTTTGTTGGCTTGAACTTTGTGACATTAATAAGGAAAAAAAGTGTTTTTAAAGTGGTCATAGTTGTTCTCGAGGGTCTCAGGAGGACAGTGGCTGCTTGTTCGGTCACTGGCACTTGTCCCTCTCTGACTGTGGAGAATCACCTCCAACAGAGAGAGAAAGAAGCCCAATCTTCCCTCTTTTATTCTGTAGAAGTGAAGCGAGAAGACAGAGAAGCACTGTCCAAACCAGAGGACAAGAATGTAGCTTTAAAAACCAAAAAAAGGGCTTTATGTTGTGTTCACATGATGCAACAGATAATGAAGTTGTATAAAGTTGAAGAGACAGAGGTTTGTTAGAAAATAATGCACACAGTAGATCAATATGTGGCATTTTTAGCATATGCCACAATTACGATTGATAATTTTTATACTGATAAACATGAGAAATGGGCAGAGATGTGGTGAAAAGGTGAAAAAGCGAGCACAGAAGCACCAACATGAAATAATCAATCAACATTGGGTAAGACAAAAACAAGGGAACAATAAGAAGACCACTGTTATTATATAGTTCTGGCCACGCTAATCTTTGTGAATGTTGTAGATTTGGAGTCGGACAGCGGTGAGGAGCTGCCGGTGCCGCAGCACATCTGCATCAGCCACATCACCTGCGACTCCTTTAAGATCGGCTGGGAGCTGGACACCGGCTGCGACCGCATCACTCACTACTTCATCGACCTCAACAAGAAGGAGAACGCAAGCTCCAACAAGTTTAAACACAAGGTGGACACGAGAGAGTTTTTCTATCACTTTTTTTTTCAAATAATTGTGAATTACATTACAACTAGTGTTCATATGTCTTACTCCTTCCCCTCCATTTCAGGTCTCTATAGGGGTGAAAAGGAAAAATGTACTGTATATGTTTTTATGTCAAACAAATGAATCCGGTATGAACCTGAAAAATAAATCATAAATTAAATGAAATGAATGTGAATGAAAATGTTACTCAAGTTATCAGAGGCATCCCTGGCCTGCTGAGAGACACAGTCTCTCCAGCTGGTCCTGGTTCTCCTCCTGGTAGAACATCCAGGAGGCACCCAAGGTAGGGGCCAAACCAAGCAGCGGCTCTATGACAAGCTCTATATGTGATAGAGCTCATCACACTGTAATGGAGCTCCAAGCCATTCTGTGGATGAAACACATTTTGCGTTTATCGGCAATCTTGTCATTTTGGTCATTACCCAATGTTCATGACCAAATTTAACTGAAAAACCCCAGTTTTATGAAAGTGTTAGGAAATCTCTGCAGAACCGGAAACATTCATAACACAAGTTATTAAATTAGATGTTTTAAAAGATGTTCATTAATGCAATCACCCAAGCTGCTTGGATCCAACCTGCATACATCTGACACAAATAGTACGGTAAATAATGTTTTTTTCAAGATTCAATAATTTTCATTTGTAGTAAAACCACAATGAAAACCTGTGCAAGACAACCCCAGTGTGCACCAGACAAAGAATATAGCGCTCCTGCCACTGTTACCTTTTCAATGTGAAGGTAACTGTTGTGCTTTGGGTGACCTTGGTCTGTAAAAATGTGCTATATAAATAAATATTACTTATATTTACTTGTGTGCAGGACGTCCCCACAAAGCTGGTGGCCAAAGCCGTGCGTCTGCCCATGACGGTGCGGGGACACTGGTTCCTCAGCCCCAGGACTCAGTACACTCTGTCGGTGCAGACTGCAGCCAAGCGTCCAGACGGAGACTACACCGTGTCCAAGTGGAGCCACAGTGTAGAGTTCGACACCGCGGGTCAGAAAACATCACTCACAGATTCACAAGGAAAAACTGAGAAAAACCCTCTGCAGTTTGGTGAATGTGTCTCCCATTCTTCATCTCCATTTCACACTTTTAGACCAAAAACTATCGACATATAATGAAGGGGAAAAAACAATGCATTCTTCGGCCAATAGATTTAAAATAAAATCATAGGCATAAAACAAAACACATAATATCAAGTCAAAACTAACATTATTGATTGAATTGGGGCAGTTTATCTTCGAACTCTTTAATTTGTTTTTAGACTTTTAGAATTTTTTTTATAATCCCTTAAATCCCAGTGAAATGGTCCTCAGTTGTGAAAAGGGAATTGTCCAAACTCAAAAGTTGGTCATTTTACTGCCTCTGCATTAGTCATTTGAAATGTGTTTTTCCATTAAGCACGGATTGTTACCACTTACATAACAAGAGTAAATGAATTAGACTCTAAAACTAGAAAGACTCAGCTTCACAACGGGGCCAGCCATTTGTCTAGGCTGATATGGGTTTGATTTTTTACATATCTTAGAGAAAACTGAAGTATAAGATGATTAGGCTAGAAAATGATAAATAGAGAAGCAAAAATATGTCTTTATTTTATCATTAAAATAAAAAAGTTATATTGTGTGCATGTGTGTGTGTGTGTGTGTGTGTGTGTGTGTGTGTGTGTGTGTGTGTGTGTGTGTGTGTGTGTGTGTGTATTACAGATTACTCCTCACTGCACCTCACTCAGCTGCTGCAGAAGGCAGAGGCTCTGGCCGGCAGGATGCTCCCGTTCACCGTTTTCTACAGAAACCAACAGAAAGAGTATTTTGAAGATAAAGGGTATGACATTTGTGATTTTACTTTGTCTCAAATTAGTAAAATGAACCAGGAATGACAACCATGTCTCTTTTGTTATCATCCGAAATTAAGTTTTTTGGTTGATAATTGTGTCATTTGATTCGTTTAAGATTTGTCTATTTTGGGCAGTAATAACCAAAAAACATTTGATTTGACTGTGTGTTTCCAGCCCCTTGTTTTGCTCCAGAGACGCTGAGTGCACTCGGATGCTGCCGTGTGTGAAGGACGTCAGTGGAAGTCATGGATCTCCAATCAGCAGCAAACTGGAGGGAATCTTCTTCAGCTGCAACACAGAGTTTAACACTGGGAAACCGCCCCAGGACTCCCCCTATGGGCCATACAGATTCCAGGTACTAGGGCCAGAAATATTGGGCTCAGATTCAAAATCACAACTATTTCCATCGCCCTTCTACTGTATGTAACAGGAAGTCACAAACTAGGAATTTTCTTTGGTACGTGGTGCAGACTATATACCAAATGGCTAAAACGAATTATTACACGATGATAATAGATAAGTCTAGCATTTGCACTTGTAAGTAATCCGTTAGCTTGTTGAGTGTGCTATATGGGGTGGGACAGGCCTTCAGAAGATTTGTTTCCATATTTTGCAGTGGTAAAAATTGTGAATATGACTGGAAATACGACAAAGGCTAAATGCTAACTGCTTGCTGTGCGTTGCTATGGTAACTAGTACTGGCTCTTCTCTCTGAGTTAATGGTCCTCCACTCCAACATGTAGAAACAGAAAAAGTCACAAAGTTCTGAAGATCAAAATTGTACAAACGCTGAGTAATTGCACTTCCAAAACTAAAAGCCATCAAATTGACTGCTCTAGTTCCAGTGTTAATGTATGTTCTTGCTGCACACACAGATCCAGGCAGAACTCCTCTTCAACAACAACACCAACGTTTATTTCGGAGACTTCTTCTGCATGTACACGTCCTACCATTACGTCGTCGTTGTGTTGGCCCCAGAGGGATCCAAGGGAGACCTCTTCTGTAAGGAGAGACTGCCTCTTCTGGACCGCTCCTCCAACGCTTTCCTGTGCTGCTCTGAGACGGACGACGGTTCTCTGTATTTCCAACACGCCCAAGACGTCATTTTGGAGGTGATCTACACGGAGCCGGTGGACTTGGCGTTGGGGACCGTCACGCAGATCAGTGGACATCAACTCATGAGTTTATCCACCACAAACGCCAAAAAGGATCCAAGTTGCAAAGTCTGTAACATCAGTGTTGGTCGTTAAGATGCATTAAGAAGGGCCAGAAAGTATGCATGGTCTGTCTTGGAATAAAGCAGTGGTTCTCAATGCCACATTTCCTGTATCTTTGTATTGGCAAGGCAAGTTTAATTGTATAGCACAGTTCATACTCAAGGTAACTCAAAACAAGACAGAAACAATCAGACATTAAAATCATCATCATAATCGCAGCGTTAAAAAAAGTGAAGATACAATCCTTCAGCTGAACAAATTAGAACATTGTCAGAGTAGAAGCCTGTCTCATATAATCAGGAAGACTGTTCCAGATTTTAGCTGCATGAATTTGAGACGCAGCATCCCCATGTTTAGTCCTGACTCTGTGCTCCTCAGAGTCCCAAATGGTTTGACTTAAAATCAAAGAACCTTTATATGTCCAACAGTGGGGACATTTCTTAACAATATATTCTATCACAATCAGGTCAAGGTTGAAGGCTACAGGGAAGGACATGGTAACGTTCTGAAACTGGTGATGCAACACTGAAATTTACCCACTGTGGGACGAATAAAGAATCTCTTTAGCCTAATCTTAATTGGGTTCTGATGAAAAATGGCACTCTCTCCTTTCCATTTCCTGGCAAAAAATGGTGGAATATAGAAGGCAAATAAATCGATTTGAGGTTTAATCCTTGAGTCCAGCACCGAGTTGTACTCAGGATCTTAGCCACATTTTAATTCGGCTTGTACCATGCTCTGTATTGTCAAAGATTGCCACTCGATGCTCTCTAAATGAACGTGTAATAGTATGTGTTCTTCACTTTGGTTTGAGAGAAGAATAGATCAAAGCTGATGGATGAGAGCTGGGGCTGGGTGTATGTCCCATGTGCTGGTGATAATTATCCAGATAAACATATACATTTTGAAAGTGCAACATGACACTTTTTGGGTGGGACAGGTGTGTTGTTAATAAGGTGCTAACACACAAACCACAGCAAAAAAAGGAACAGAATGTACAGGCAAAATGGAAGTATATATTTGTTTTTACCTGAGTAAGTATAATTTTCATACTAAGCAGAACAATAAATGGATTTTCATGGGTTTGTGTTCTGTCATCCAGATATAAACAGATTGAATGTTAAAACAATGTTGTTAAATAGTTTATAACTATGAGAAACAATATATTAACATTATAACAACTTTAAGTGTCTAAAACAACATATATTGAAGTCCTAGATAAATCTGCTTCTTATTCAGGTCACAGACATATCTTGATTTAACCCCATGTCTTTTTCCAGTTTAGTATTTTTTGTTTTTTCTAATGGAGCGTTAATGTGATCTAAGCTCATAATACGATTGTAGATATAATCTTTTGTAATGTAATGTGTTTCTCATTGTAAACGGTTGTACAATATTTTGCATAATAAAAATGAAAGGATAATGGTTTGTGAATTATTGAACGAGAAAGTTATCAACTCCAAGTAAACCCTGTTTTCCACCAGAGAAAGTGGGACAATGAAGGGAGTCATTTATACATATTTATACATACTTTATATTGAGGAGAAGTTTCAACCTGTTTTTAATTTTTTTGTAAACTCAGCATTGTCTCTATTATTTATGCCATTAAAATATTGCCTCATATACTAAATCATGTTGCAAATGGAAAAATAAATGACTAAAATAAATAAATGTGTTCTGTGGGTGAAATGTCCAGTCACTGCAACAACAGTTTATCCTTTATAGCCACAGCTGCCAATATATGCTCTCAGATGTCTTCCATCACAGCACTAACCATGCACTGCCCTGCTTAGCTTTTGAGATTTAAGATTGATCAGTTACATTATGGATATTGCACATGTGTTTGATACAGTCTATAACTTGCACTGGGCGTCAATAGGTTTTAGATATGGTCAATCGTCAACCTAAGATTATGTTATTGAAAGTAATCAAAGTCTCCTAAACGACTTGCCAGTTTCAATGAGTTTCGTGACTTTAATAATTGTAGTGTTAAGATTAGTGAACCATCATCAACGCGTCTATTATGCGTCTCCTACGTTTGTCCCAGTTCGGCCACCGTGGCTCTTCCTGTTGTGGGTGTGGGAGCCGCACGAAAACAGATGACTGTATAAATCATGGACTAGCGTTTACATTCACTAAAGTTTTTATTTCAGAGATTAGTGACCTCTTTGTGTCCTGTGGCCGAGCCGAGGCTGTGATGCTGAGTCAGAATGGGAAACTTATTTGGAAAAAAGAAACGCACACGAGTGACAGAACAAGACAAGGCAGTGTTGGTAAGCTAACGTTAGCAGCATGCTAACCTGTCACTTTAGACTTCACCACTCACCTGCTGATAAACAGAAGGACATAATGGCATGAAGCAGAGCAGCTAGTGTTTTATTTAACAGGGAAATAAATACATCATATAACCCAGTCATTTTCACTTTCACTCCCACACTACTGCTCTCACAGTCTCTGTCAGTCCAACAAGATTGTATGTATCAGTGGAACATCCATGTCTATACTGCTTTATAATGTCTGTTCCTGTCGAGACATAGGATTCAATCATGAAGCCAGACAGGTTTCCCAAAAGACATTTGAAATAGACAAGTCACATTTGAGTAAAGTTAATAGTTTCATACCAAAAATGCCCTGCTCATTTCTAGTTTAAGTCCCTGTGTGTTTCCTTTTTTAAACCTACTGGTAGCCACTATTGTTTACATACATAAGGGTTCATCTGAAATATTTGATTATTAAGCATTCAAGTTTATACCAAATTAGTTGCCATTATACAGGTACATACCATATATTTGTGGTGCTTAGATAGATTCACCCATTGTGTTCTATGTTTACTCAGCAACTGAAGCAGCAAAGAGATAAACTCAGGCAGTATCAAAAGAGAATCAACCTCCAGCTGGAAAAGGAGAGGACTGTTGCCAAACAGCTGCTAAAGGATGGCAAGAAAGAGTGAGTAGATCACAACAAAGTTGTTTGAATGGACCAGCAGTCTTTATAAAATTTACTGCAGAGATAAACTGTTGCCGGTGGTGGTGAATGTTGTTGGAAGCAAAACAAACCAACAGGTTTACAGTTGAAAAGATACATTTGATTTGCCTTGTATTTGGAAACACAAATTAATATATCTACAGAAATGTCTCTATGCCTTTGTTTGAGCCGAAGTCTATAGAAGTTTTCTTTATGACGCCAAAAGGTGTCATTTTAAGTACTATTTTCATCTCCAAAATAACCCTTTAGTCCAAAAGTGCGCTAAAAGTAACTTTTGAGAATAACTTAAAAGGTAATTTTTTAAGGACAAAAAGACAAAAATAACATTAAGACCTAATTCGGTCCGGCTGTATGAAAATATAAGTTTGAAATCAACAATTACATGTGTGTTCAACAGAAAAGCCCTTTTGCTGCTGAAGAAGAAGAAATACCAGGAGCAGCTCTTGGACAAAACGGAAAACCAGATCAGTAATTTGGAGCGAATGGTGAGTTTAAACACAACGGCTTTCAAACCATTTTATGATCGATAGTGGTAGCAGAACTCTGTCTGCCCCAGGACGACTGTGGCTTCTGTCATGATGTAATACCAATATGGAAGCTGTATAATATAAGCTTGAGTTTGAAATACATTTTGTAAATAACAGTTGGTCTTTGTGTTCTTGCTTCACAGGTTCAGGACCTGGAGTTTGCTCAGATTGAAATGAAGGTTCTAGAAGGACTCAAAGTTGGAAATGAATGTCTAAAGAAAATGCACGAGGTGAGTGGAGATACCAGCTGAACGTCACTAATGTCAATAATATAATTACTACATTTGAACGATTTTGGTGGATATTGACGCGATGCAAATGTATCATTAATAATCTCTTCTGCAGATGATGTCCATCGAAGAAGTCGAGAGAATCATGGACGAGACTCAAGACGCCATCGACTACCAGCGGGTGAGTTTTCTGAACCATGTTCAAACACAGATGTCTAAGACTGTAAATTATATGTTCATTTTTTAACAACAATTGTTAAGCTCTTTGTGATCATTTTCTCTTTCAGCAAATTGATGAGATGTTGGCAGGATCTCTGACGCAAGAAGACGAAGACGACATTCTAGCTGAACTGGAGGCCATTACTGAGGTTTGAATTAGCATTGTGTTTTTTATATAATCAGATTTATGTTTTCAGACCATACATTAAGTTAGAATCAGCAGTTTTTTCCTTCTTGCAAAAAATCCTTGTCATCTTTTTCAAAAAAGTAATAAGAAGAAGATGGCCGCATAAACAATTTTTTAAATTGTCTTTTAGGCAGATGTTGAGCTCCCTGACGTCCCCTCAGAGGAACTCCCTGAAGTCCCTGCTGCCAAAGAACAAACACCAGGTTAGCTTTAGTCTGTAGGACTTTGAATGTCACTTATACTGTATTTATGACAATGATGAACAAATAGAACCTACAACCAACAGGTTTGATGAGCATTTAGTTTTTATCATTAATGACTTTTACTATTATGTATTTATGAAAGTTTGTATGGATGATGTATTTTTGCTGCTGGGCTGTTGGGGGAAAATCACTAATATCTCTTCTCACTTCTCATATTTAAGATGTTTCATGGATAGTTAAAATGTGTATTTATTTATTATGATCTACTGTCTTTTGTTGTAATTTTAAACTCCACACTTTTTTCTTTGTTTCCAGAGCGGGAAAGATCCCAAAAGAAGCCGGAACGTGAGCTGCTGGCTGCGTAGAGCTGGGACTGAATCGTTTGCGTCGAGTCTCTTAAGATTGAACCACAGATTCTCGACCGCTCTGTGCCAGTTTTCCCAATGGACTTATATAAATAGTGAAAAAAAAGATCATATTTCTATCTATGACTTCACTCTATGTGCCTATCATTTTAACCACTGAATAACATAAAATCCTCTCACATTTTTATAACTATTTCTTGTTCATCCATCCATCTATTTTCTTCCGCTTTATCCGTTGCCGGGTCGCGGGGGCAGCAGTCTAAGCAGAGACGCCCAGACTTCCCTATCCACACACACCTCCTCCAGCTCGTCCGGGGGGACCCCAAGGCGTTCCCAGGCCAGCTGAGAGACATAGTCTCTCCAGCGTGTCCTAGGTCTTCCCCGGGGCCTCCTCCCGGTGGGACGTGCCCGGAACACCTCCCCAGGGAGGCGTCCAGGAGGCATCCTGAACAGATGCCCGAGCCACCTCAACTGGTTCCTCTCGACGTGGAGTCGCAGCGGCTCTACTCCGAGCTCCTCCCGTGTGACTGAGCTCCTCACCCTATCTCTAAGGGAGCGCCCAGCCACTCTGCGGAGAAAGCTCATTTCGACCGCTTGTATCCGCGATCTCGTTCTTTCGGTCATTACCCAAAGCTCATGACCATAGGTGAGGGTGGGAACGAAGATTGACCGGTAAATCGAGAGCTTTGCCTTTCGGCTCAGCTCCCTCTTTACCACAACGGTCCGATACAGCGACCGCATCACTGCGCACGCTGCACCGATCCGCCTGTCAATCTCACGCTCCATTCTTCCCTCACTCGTGAACAAGACCCCGAGATACTTGAACTCCTCCACTTGAGGAAGGACCTCTCCACCCGCCTGGAGAGGGCAAGGCACCTTTTTCCGGTCGAGCACCATGGCCTCGGATTTGGAGGTGCTGATTCTCATCCCAGCCGCTTCACACTCGGCTGCAAACCGTCCCAGTGCATGCTGCAGGTCCTGGTTCGTTGGAGCCAACAGGACGACATCATCCGCAAAAAGTAGAGATGAAATCCTGTGGTTCCCGAACCGGACCCCCTCCGGCCCCTGGCTGCGCCTAGAAATTCTGTCCATAAATACAGTGAACAGAACCGGTGACAAAGGGCAGCCTTGGCGGAGGCCAACATGCACCGGGAACAGGTCTGACTTACTGCCGGCAATGCGAACACAGCTCTGGCTCCGGTCATACAGGTCATACATACTATTTCTTGTTGTTTTCTTAAATTTCAATAGTGACATTCATTATTAAAGTACAGAAATCCAAGGACGTTTTCTTTGGTTCCTTCATTGTGTATCAAAAACTCAATGAACTGAACCAGGACGGGAGGTTTTAAATCCATAAGTATTTTTTGTGTGATTTTATTTCCCTCAAACTGTCAACAAACCAAGAACGATTCACGTGCCAATAATGATTATAAAGTTGTACTGTAAAATGTATTGTTTGTAATAACATTTCATGCATCTTTGTCATAACTCTCTATGCTAATTCTCTTTGTGAAAATCATGAGTGGAGAAGACAAACTTTGATACAATTGATACATGTAAGAAGCCTTTGAGTTCGTGAGGCCACCCTGCTGCTGCTGCTGCTGCTGCTACCTCATCAGAATCAGTCTAGTATACTTCCATTAATAAAATAACAGCTAACTGTGCACATCTATATGCATCGTTTTGTAACTAAAAGGTTTTGTAACGTCACAGCTGTGTTTTGCACTACCGGGTTTGAACACAAGAGGGCAGCAAACACTTGTAATATTTCACAGCAGGCGTCGACAGCTTTTTTCACTTGAGTGATGCTCTTACTCAGCAGAGATTTTAATATAGTGGTATAATACTTTTTATATATACCTGTGACAAACCTGAGATGGTAACAGACTAGTTACAATAAACCAATGCCATTTCTTTGTGCATAAACCCCCAGCATGCATAATGACAATAGGTGATTCATGAAAGTTTGTGTTTTTATTGTCGTGTTATATCCTGTATTGTTTGTGGATTTACCTGAAAGTGACTGGTGAGCTCTTGATAGCTTAGTTGCTGTCCTGATTTTGATTCAATGTTATCCCTGTGTCTATAGGTTTCCTCTGGGTGCTCCAGTTTCCCCCTACTATATACGCCCGAACAATGGGACTACCAAAGAAAAACTATCCTTGGTATATTTCCGGACCCAGTGTATTTACAATATTCTTTTATACACACTACCTCATTCAAATTAACACAAAGCATTTGATTAAACAGGTTGGAGACCCTGCATGACTATTCTGCATAATATCCGTTACTGGCATACAATCTAAACTTATACCTTTAATCTCTTTCAAATATAACATGAATTACTAGCAAATGTCATGTTTGGCGACAACTCTCAACGCGTCTTCTGTGATATTATTTGGTTATGGAAAAACATAGGCCTTCATTTTGGCCAACAAAAACAAATCAAAACGAAAAGTATTCTAAAGTGTATGTTGTTTTGAACTAATGCTTTGATGTGGCTGAATGGCGGCGATGGGCAGAGGTGTCCGTGGGAAGCAGCTGAGGATGAGTCAGGCTTTAAGTGAAGAGGAGCGTTGGATTCTCAATGTCCATGGATCTGTGTTTAAATCCACCCACATCAATTACTCCTGCACACAGCCATTCACTTCAGCAAGGCCACATCTGACTGGCCGAGACTGGACCAGGGACTGAAGCAGGGACTTGGACCAGGGACTGAAGCGGGTACTTGGACCAGAGACTGAAGCAGAGGCTTGGACCAGGGATTAGAGCAGGGACTGAAGCAGGGACTTGGACCTGGGACTGAAGCAGAGGCTGAAGCAGGGACTTGGACCAGGGACTAAACCAGGGACTGAAGCAGGGACTTGGACCAGGGACTGAAGCAGGGACTGGACCAGGGACTGAACCAGGGACTGAACCAGGGACTAAACCAGGGACTAAACCAGGGACTGAAGCATAGACTGAAGCAGGGACTTGGACCTTGGACTGAAGCAGGGATTTGGACCAGGGACTGAAGCAGAGGCTTGGTCCAGGGACTAAAGCAAAACTTGGACCAGGGACTGAAGCAGGGATTTCGACGAGAGACTGAAGCAGGGACTTGGACCAAGGACTGAAGCAGGGATTGAAGCAAAGACTGAACCAGGGACTAAACCCAGGACTGAACCAGAGAATGAGGCAGGCACTAAACCAGGGACTGAAAGAGAGACTAAACCAGGGACTGATCCATTGAGTAGAGACTGAATCAAGAGACTGAACCAGGGACTAAACCTAAATTAGCATTTTTTTCAAATGTCCTTGTATTTGTTTCATTGGAACTCATAGCATTCGACAACATTTGCAGGACATACAGGGGCCAATGGCACACATGGTTGCCTCGCTTCTGTCAGTGTGCCTCAGGGCAGCTGTGGCTACTATGGTTGCTTACCACTAGCGTTTATAGAGTGAATAAATAATGCCATGAGAAGCATCTTAAAGTGTTGAAAAATCACTAGGATGCATGTATGATGAGTATAGGTGCATGAGGGGTAGATCCTTTGACCTACTAGAATTGTTTTTGCATCTCAAAAAATAAAAAACAGACAGATTTAACTATGAATTAACTGTAGAATGAACAAGGGACCAAAAAGGGCTGACTTCACCTCAACCACTCTATGCCATCTTGGTTCCTATGCAATATTTAACACATATCAATGGTGAACAAAATAGTAATACAAAGGGAAAAACAATATTATGAATTTCAACAATGTGGCCGTCCATGTCCTGGATTGCTCGGATGAAAATGAGTCATCCTCGTGGCAGAAATAAAAGCAATGTTTTTGTAAAGTCATGGTAACAAATTTAATGAGGCTGCGTCCAAGTGGCTCATGGCTCCATCCCACTTCGCCGAGCACGAACAAAAGCACAACAATGAACCTTATTGAAGTCAAACAGCACAACACGGTTACTGTTTGTGAGGAAGCGGCAAAGAAAAGGTTTTGTAGATGATCCAGAAAAATAATAACAGATTTGGATTTTTAAGAGAGGAATTGGTCGCTGATAAAATATGGATTTCCACAATTTTGTTGCAAGTTTGATCTATTTTGATGATGTTAAGTGCGTAGTTGTAACTGTTGTAATTGGATGTAGCGTGGCAAGATTTTATTAAAAGTGAAGACTGGTAGTTTTGGGTCCACTGGACAAGATGACAACAGATTTGTGAATTATAGGCGGAATTAATCTTGATTTTAAAAAATGTTGTCTCACTTGGAATGAGAAAAAGAAATGCTTTTGCTGACGTAATAAGAAATTTTAATCAAGATATTTACAACTGCACTAAACCAATTACCTGAAACCGGCCAAGAGCCAACTTTTGGAACATCCTGTAAAGACGTTTTTGAGAAGTAAGAAGATGCTATATGTTAGCATTGGCTAATTATCATTCCGGGTCCACCCCCATCGACCCAGGGTGGTACTGCAAGCATGTCAGCGCATGTCATTTTGGCCACTTTTGAGGCGGGATCCGCCCCCACTGGATGCTATCGACATGTGAAAGCCCAAACTCATCAGTATGAGATGAAAGACCTCAGGGAACACCACTGGGGCCACTGGGGTTCTAGAGTGCAATACTGTTGATGTGTCCTTAAGCAAGACACTCACATTGCCTTGTATGAGTCTGGTGTAGTATGTATGATACTGATGCAGTATTTACCACCACACAGTACGAAGAGAATGAATAATGCCACATGTATTATTATCAATATTATGCTTAAAAAGGCCTAAACGTGCCAATTGTAAACCTTAAATTTGGATTTTACGTAAATAAGTCAAAGAAATGCATATAGTAATAGATCATGCAAATGAGGTTTGAAAGGGCAGACGACTTCCTTTACAACTTGTTCAGTGATGGATCACTCCTGGACAGATGAGGGATTACACCACTTTGCATAATATGAGATTGTAAAAATGTGACACAGAACCAGTTGATATGCATTTTTCATTTTTGTTGGCAACGGATCAAACACACAAAACCACTATAAGTGAAGTCTTCTTTTCTAATATAGTGTTGTTGGAAGCTTGTATTAGAGTGTAAATACCACAATGCAATCTTTGGTTTTTGTAAAGTGAATATATTCTGATTTCCACCAAAAAGTAGAAAGTTATTTCCACCAAATAGAAGACATTGATAGAACATATTTTTGGTTACTTCATCGTTAATGTGTCATATAATAATGTGAATACCTATTATAATTTGTTGGACACTCACAGACGCTTCACATGGCATTTAACTTAGACCAAAACGATTAACTTAAACCATATCACAGCTTTACTTTGGAACACGCTCATGTCAGAACAAACACCATCTGTAAACAGCCTGTGGATCGCCACGGGGGACCTGGACCACAGTTTGAGACACACATTGCATTCTTACACAATATACATTCTGTGAACACAATGGATCACAATACACCTGAAATTCAAGGACAAAGAATCTGTGTCCGGACAATACTGCACTTCCCACAATCCTTTACTTTCTATTTCAATGCCTCGTCTCCAGCATCCTCCACGCGCGGCACTGAATGAAGAGGAGGCTGCGCGTGGGACGTGGGATGCCATGACACAGAGGAGGGGGCGTGGCTTCTGTCAACCCCCCGAGTCGCCTTCAAAGAACTGCAGAAAGATGGGACATTTGAGTGCTCACCATGACTGTGCATGCAGCTATAAGTGTCGATGGCAAGGCAAGGCAAGTGTATTTGTATAGCACAGTTCAACAACAACAAGTGCTTAATGAAACAAAATATCATACAAGGCATTAAAATCAAACACAATCACAGTAAATTAAACACAGGGAGGACACAATCCTCCAGTTGTCTGCACAGCTAAACAGATAAAACTGGATTTGAACATTGTCAGAGAAGAAGCCTGTCTCACATTTTCAGGAAGACTGTTCCAGATTTTAACTGCATAAATGTGAAACACTGCCTCCCCATGTTTAGTCCTGACTTTGGCACTGAACTTTGTTCAAGTGGCACTAAAATGTCGCAGATGTACTTAATAAAATGAAAGTGTGGGATTTGTTAGGGCGCTGCTAGCGTTTGTGTATATTGTAAGGCCTTTCAAGCCGATACATAAAATTCCACAAAATTCTTCAAAATCTGTTGAATGTTAGTCGAGAAATTTCAGACATTTTTGGAACAAAAGACTCCGATTCAGACTACTTTCTTTATCCCACCAGGGGCAATTCATTTGAGCAGCACATAAAAAATAATTAAGAAAATAACATAAAAACACAGGAAAAGAGTGAATCTGTAATGAAGTGGAGCCCCATAAAAACATATGAACATGAGACAACAATGAAGCTCAAATATCAAAGTCCACAAAGTCCACATCACCACCGAGCTACAGAGAGTTCAGCAGCCTCTAAATCTGATGTCTCTGTAAGAAAACACAATGTAAATACATAACTCTACAATAGTAATCTCCCCATGTGTTTCTGCCTTTATGGTAAACTATAGTACTATAGTATAAATATCACACCCATATCCAACTACATAAAAAAATAGGCCATTAATTTGACCCGTCTGCATTTAACTCATCAAACCTGCAAAGAAGCAGCGAGAGTAAGGATCAGGTACAGTATGTCCAACCTCCCCTGCCTCTAAAATAAAGTTGTCATTGAGGTACTTTTTAGATAAGTTAAGTGCCGGCTTTGTGAAAAAAAGGAAAAACCATTTAAGCTATAATATCTCATTTTTATATAGATTATTCCACTGATACAATAAGAACAACTTAATATTTTGGAATTAAGATCTGTGTTTGAGGCGTCTATATTAAACAAGGCTGTTGACATGACTTGAAGTCTTATGTTTCTCCTGGGAAATCCTGGAGGTGCCTTGTAGAAGTCCTTTGTGCGTACATATATGTTTCAATGGTCCATGGCCATTGTACAAGCGTCACAGAAAGGTCGTATTTTCAAAGGGCAATTTGAAAGGAAAGGGTGGGACTGGAGCTCTGGTTACGATAATGATACTATTATTAAGTAAAAATAGCCTTCAATTGTACCAGAGTAAACAATCCCCACATTCATAATACAGCAACTTGCCATAGCGTAACTACTGTAACTAACACAAAAAAGTATTGATTCATGAAATATAATTAAATGCAGTATATATATAAAATATCTTCAATTGAAAAAAATCCATCTTTTTTTAACCGGTTCTGTCCTAGTTTTAGGCTTGATTTTAATCTACATTAGTTTTAGCTGCTACCCAAGCAATTTAACGTTGGGTTCTGGGTAGTTTCTTGGGTGATTTGTTCCTTGAATAAAAGTGCTTTGATGGCCTTGAAAAGATAAAAATGCGCTATATACATCCACAGAATCAAGCAATATCTATCGATCAATGTCAATCCTTTCATATTGGTCAAGACTCGTGGATGTCCCGAGAAATAGAAAATATATCTTGAATAGACTATTGGTCATACATGCGTTTACACTAGAACTTCGAGAGCTGTCAATTCGACGGCTTTTAGTTTTGGAAATGTAATTAGCAATATTAAAAGCGTCTAAAGAAACAAAAACCTGTATGTGACAACTATTAATACATCTGGTGCAAAGCACATTTGCTTTTTTGGGGATTTTTTTTCCGGAATTCCATATTTTTAAGTTGGAGCAGTCAAAATGATGGCTCTAGTTTCAGAAATCTGTGATCGCTTGTGTAGACAATGTTTTACAAACCATGAATAAGTGCTTGCCATCCATAATCAAGCAGGAAAGGTCACACGGGTTAACATCGCGCACTTTCCCATCGCCCTTGAACGCGCCTCGGTGTAAAGTCCGCCTCTGCGCCTCTTCCACTCGCTCCGTGCATGTGCATGTGCGTGTGCGGCGTGGGGAGCTGGTGTGTGGGCGCAGAGGCGGGTGGGGAGGGGGGGCAGGACTTTCCTTTATAAGCAGGGATCCCACTCTCTGCACGAGTCTTTCAGTCGTAGCTCCAGCCCAACGTCAGCGAAACTCCAGCGGCTGTGGGCTGTCCATCCTCCCGCTCCAGCATCCTCCAGTCCCGTCTATGGTGGTGACTGACGAGGCAGCCAAGATGTCCCGGACCGACGAGGTGCACCGCATCACGGAGAATGTGTACAAGGTAAGCCCCCGGGAAACTCTGGAAGAAAAACATGTTATTATTATTATCATTATTATTCTGTGTTATTTCAGACCAGAGACTGTAACTTGTGAACGTGCAAAATGTGAAATGTGCAAACTTGGGTACAGTCAAGTTCATTATAGAACACATTTGAACATGGGTTTTTAAAATTGTGAAGATAAGATTAATCTTTATTCGTCCCTCAATAGATGAATATGAATACAGGGTAGGAATTGGGCTGAAATTGAAACAGAATGAATGTAGAATGAAAAAAAACAAAAAAAACTCTAGTATGCTGTGTTTAATCTGTATAATCCACTGATGAGGTTTATAACTTTTTGTGTTTTGTAGATGTTTGTCCAACAGAAACAGTATTGTAAAAGTAAAATATTGTGAACTATTTGAATATATTTAGATGGGAACAAGAAAGGAGCCCTTTGAGTCACTATTTGATGCTTTGGGCTGAGGGGGAGAGAAAGTGGTCTTATCTTTTTCCCGTATCTGTTTGAAAAAGATGTGACTGACGACTTAAAGGTACATACGTGAGAATTCTAACGGTTTTGGGAGCGAGGAACAAATTGGATTGTATTGCATAGTTCCATTTGTGTTGGTTTGAAAGTTAGGTGCCCCAGCTTTAAAGGTGCATTGCATACATTTCCTGATGAGGTCCGCCACCCGCTTGTTGCCTTACACTGTAGTTCAAAGAAAAACTATTAGACTTGTATTATTTCATCTTTCATGTATTATTTTCTATACATTTAAGTAGGTCTATAAAAGAAAGAAAAACGTCATATTTACCAGTATAGAAGGAAACAGCAAACAGGAATCAATTATTATCATTTTCCTACAAAAAATCAGATGCAAATTGGAAGCAACCCAAATAATAATAGTAAAAAATACAAAGTCAAGACTTAGTGAGAAATCTTGCTAACTGCAGATGCAAGGAAAGACAAAATGTTGGGTTTTGAATGTCAATATCAAGCTTATATGTATAGCACATTTATAACAACACCCCCTGCCCAAAGTGCTTCACGCGCACAAAAAAAAAAAAAAAACAGAATTCTATACACAAAAAAATTATGTAAAATGTAAAAGAAAGGACAGAACAGCCTTGGTAATATCTATAGTATTTGTATTATTAGTATAGTATTAGTATTAGTACTATATTTAATTAGTATTAGTATTATAGTATTTTTCACTAGTTCAGTATCCATTGTCTTGAGTTTTTTCTGTATTTTAAAGGGGTTTAGTTTGAGACACTATCAGATAAAAATGTGTATTAATTTTAACTTTACATTAATTCTTGTAAATTAACCGAAGGCAACACACTGCAAAAAAATTGACTAGTATCCACTCACACCAACATTAGGTAATTGTCGTAATGATTCATCCAAAAATCATAGTAAAAATATGGCAGATTTCCAAAGTATTATTAGTCCACCGTTTTTTTTTTTCTCTTCCCACCGTTTCGTTCAGAATTAGCAAATGGCATATAGACTTCTCAATAGGGTGAAAGTTATCGCTGTGAAAAATGGATGGGGGCGTTTGTGAGTGACTCATTGCTGTCTACAGATGGAAGAAGGCTTGATATTTAAGAAGAAGTAACTGGGTGTCTGCGATTTGGACATTGAATACGGTGCGAACTGAAAATGCAGACAACGCGTTCTCAAAGGCAGTAATGGAATTCAAGCGATCACTTTAGAGCGTGTTTGTAACCAGTTTTGCTTGTGTAAGGCATCGACACCGTGGTGAACTCAAAGAAGAGGTTGTGTGGAATGTAACTGTAGTTTTGTGTCTTTGGTGTATTCTTGTTGATGTGTTTTTAAATGTACACTGTTCATATGGCAAAAAGAAGCACATGTTTATTCTACTGTTACAAGACTGTATTACTAATGTGGAATAAGGAATGGCTGGTATCAATGGACTGCATAGGCTATAAGTCCCCCCAGTAAATATGTAGAAAAAAAGGCTATTTCTTTATTTTATATTATTGTGTGTCAGCGCAAGTGGTGTAATATTGTTATGAATGTGTATATATGTTGTAATTGTTTTCGTCTGATGGGTAACTTTCCAAAAAAGGGGGTGGTTTGCAGCAGAATCTGAATCTGAATCACACCCATAGTCGCACACGGTCTGTTGGGATTGACAGGTATAAGTCCCGCCTCCCGCCCCAAAGCACAGATATCATATATTTTTGTATGTTTTTTTCATTGGGATGTTAAATCTGGAACATGTGGGTTTACGTAGCTATTTAAAAACATTATTTGACTGGATTCGGAGTGGATTGACCGAGTGCAAATGAAGGCATTTCATTGGTCAATCCTTATATGGCTCATATCTGGATTTACAGACTTTATCAAAATATTAACACCAGGATCACAGAGAGCGCATATTTACTGAGCTAGAGGAGTTTACATTTCATCTTAAGTCAATTTAAGCCAAATGTGACATGTACAATTCTCCATTGTGAGATCAATACATTATTTTTCTTTTCTTTTCTTATCTTAGGAGCCAGAGGGAGTTGGAGAAAAACTCCGCCCATTCCTGTTTGGCTTTATTGAGATAGCGGGGTTAGCATTGTCCATTTACAGCCTACATTTACAGTCTATGGCAACAACAAAGGGAATCCCTGATCTAACTGAAAATAAAGATTTAACATGTCAATACATAATTTTAATCATATATTTGTGGTCACACTGTCCTAAAGGAAATATGTTGGATGAATTTTTCCCTTTTGGTTTAACCGCAGGAGGTGAAACTTATGTTGTGCTTCTGAGGAACCTTTACTCAGCCCTAATTGGTCCCTCAATTTTTTTTTTTCTCATAAACATACATAATTTATATTCTCGCTGCGTGCCTTACAGTGCCTGACATTTAGCTCCATGAAGTCATTATATAACCCTATGATGAATGAAGTAACAGAAATCGAGTTTGTCTCAACCCACTCTGCTTCTCAGACATTGAACGCATCATCTGGCTCGAACTGGAAGTATAAAAACGCAAATATCCAATGTTTCTGTTAGTTCTGACTGTAAATAAAATTTAAACATGGAAACCTGTAAAAGAAAGAAAATGTAAAAAGGTTAGGAAACTTTTACTCCTACTTTTCGAATTGCGTATACATGTTTTTCTTTTTTATTGTATTTTCGGACAACAATAGGAGCAATTACATAAATCTCACTCACTAACTACATATTGCATTTAACAACAGCATTTGCATGATAATTACACACATTGACTCAGGGTCTTCAAATCCAGGGAGATGTTTTGTTGCTCGCGGTGCGTTCGGTGCCTTCGCGTGTGTTGGGAAAATAGAAATGCTGCAGGTTGTTGCGGTTGCTGATCAAACACCATCTGTGAGTTTGGTGAGTTTGTGGAGCACAGTGGGAATTATCTGTGGAGGGATGAGCAAAACTTATGAAATGATCCATAGGTTGAAAAATGCAAGTTACAACTAGCAACTTTGACTCATATCTTTTTCTGTTTTGCTCTACAATTTCTCGCCCTACTTTCTATATTTGACACTGAAACCTACTCTGGTGCAGATTCAGGACAGCCTCAGGGGTGTAGGGGAAAATACAGAATTGCGCTGGGCTAGCTGACTGCCATGCCATGCAAAACCAGAGCCCAACATGCAACATTATAGATTTTATTACATAATTAAAATACAGTTGGGTGATTGTATTACATTTTGATCGTCCGAAAACAAGAGTTCTCAGACAAACCGGCTTTTTTTTGGGTGAAATTTGAACTAAAGCAAAATATTTTACCTTTGACAAATCATATTTTTAGGCTAAACTCAACATTTTCTCTTTCTCTTATTTTAACCATTCATTACTGTAAAGTAGCTCTCCCTGGGAAAAGGTCAGAGACACCTGCATTTTAGTCGATTGAAAGTTAAGTACCCCAGCTTTAGGGAAATGCCATTGAAACGTGTACAATTATTACTGACTGTAGTGAAATGAGAAAGATAGCACCATTATTGCATAAGTATTAAAATGCTGCTGGTTCTTGCTAAACTGGTCAATCTCAATTTACCAAAGTTCTCAGTGAAATTATGAAATCATGTCGTCACAATTTATTCATAGCCAACTTCTTAAACTTGTGGCCTTGTTTCTTGGAGGCCTGGTTGCGTAAGATTCACATGCATAATGCTGGGTCACATCACGCGTTCATGTTTAATTGATGCATTTAAATAAGCATCTGCAGCGTGCACCGACTGTCAGCGAACGTCACACGAGGCCTTCATGTTCCGCTAAGTCTGCTTCACGTGTGACTCAGTTCAGACATATGTTGTGTGTGAGACATTACTCTGAGCCTGGAAGATACTATTCCAGCCCTTTATGATGACACATTTCTCATTTTAGACATAGACTTACGCAACAAAGACAAAGATTATTATTCACATGAACTAGACTGAACTAAAAACACAGACGCTATGCTTTTGTTTTAGCTTCCATTTGACACAAGCTCAACCTAAAAATATAATTTACATGTACATGTTGAAAAGACTCTTATCTAAATCTTGATTCAATGAGTACTTATTCTTTGCTGAGATAATCCATCCCATCTCACTAGTATGGCATATCAAGATGCTGACTATAATATACTTTTGGTCTTGTTTGGGACACGGATGGCTGAAAATGACAGTGTTTTCCAGTTCCTGCTAATATTCAGCAAGTTCGCACATTGATTGGAGTGTGCGGAGGAGTTGACCAATATTCCTCAGGTCAGAATCAACAAACGGATCAACTCTGTGAAAGAAAATAGTGGTCGCACCCAATATAGACTTTTTTTATTCATTTACCAAGCATATATACAAGTGTAATATTTTCTGTTGTGTGTATGGGAAATGGAAGCAAAACCCAACCACTGTGTTTATATTTTTATTCGCTGTATCAATATATACATCTTCACAGTTGTCTCACATGACTTTATCAACCCTTTAATTTTACTCTTGAGTTTTTTCTTCCAGAAATTTGAGTGTGTGGAGTGGATGGAAATGACAGATTCACCAAATTTGTAGAGTGCTTTGTGTGACCTTGCTCCTTGAAATGTGCTATATAAAAACATATAAAAACAAAGAGAAAGA